TATTCTTCAGTCATCAGACACCTGTCACATAGACCGTGGGACCCAAAGAAGCAGCCATGAGAAAACTGCATGTGGCTTTGTACCAAATGGCACCCTATTTCCTATATAGTGCACTACTTTGGTCCCTGGTCAACATTAGTGCAATATATAGGGAATAGGGTGCTATCTGGGATGCAGCAAGTGATTTACCTGTGACAACCCCAACTAAGGTTGAAGGTCATGATCAGGGATATGCAGCCCTTAGGGTTAGCAAAAATGTATGACATACTGTAAGCCAAAATGATAAATCCAGATGTAATTGAGGAGATTCATGCAGCCCCTTTTTTTCAGTGATGTGTTTTTAAAACCAAAGAGATTCCACTGAATTTAAGCTAGTACTTAATCAAACATTCATTGAAGTCGAACTTGTTGGTCGCTGAACTACTTGTAATCCCTACCAGTCATTTCCTGTTCTATTCTTGTCTAAAAAGCTACATGATTGAAGCACCATTGTTTGTCATCGTTTTCTGCTTATCACTTTAAAGTATTGATTATGTAAAAGACATGTACCACTGTCTCACTCTGCACTGTTTAGGTGTAAATCACCATAGAGCTATTTCTATATAAATCACAAGCTCTACAGCCAGGAAATTAGATCAAATGCAGAATGACAGTTTTACTATGTCTACTTTAAATGGATTAATGTTATTTCTCTCCTCAAGTTCCATGGTCTGTGCAGGTTAAATGAGATACAATAAAACTTTGTCCACATTTGTGTCTCTTGTTATTTTTTTGCCCTCAGAATGCACTGTACCTTTGAAATCGTCCAATCTCCTGTTAATGAAAGCTATGTTTTCAGAACCAGAACATGTTGTAATAATAAATGTACACATTCATGTAACCATTTATTAGAAAAGATAACAATGCATAGTCTTGGTATTAGGGCACTGCTCCTTCAGGGTAGCTCAATGCCAGAGCCAAGCGTCATATTAAGATGATAATATAACTACAGGCATTGAGCACGATATGCGATATCAAACAAAGAACCCAGACAGGTGTAGGCTGGGGTGGTGGTGGGATATCAGAAACAGCGAGCTGACACAATCATGATCATATTAGCAATACTGCAGGAACTCATGTAGGCTCCACACTTTCAGAATTACAATCGAGTGGAACTCATCACTGCTCTGGTTTCTTCGTCAGCGCTGTGGGCTAGCTCTGAGCTATGTGCCGCCCACTCCTGCATCGGAGCTGCTACTGCTTCTCAATAGGCCAACAGAGGATGATGGGCCAATAATCTTGAGGGTGAAGCCGTGACAGATTGAGAAGCAGTAGCAGCTCCAATGAGGCCCTTTACCAGATTGGACCGATTGGCCGGCCGGCCAGATTGGACCAGTAGGCCGGCCAGCCAGATAACAAAACGGAAGATTCTCGATAAGAGGTAACGTAATGTTAGCTGGACTAGGTAAATTAGCGACTTTAGGTAACGCTACAGTCCTGGTAGTCACTGCTAGACTGGTAGCTACACTACATGGCCAACAGTATGTGGACACCTGCTCATCGAACAACTCATTCCAAAATCATGGGCATTAATAAGGAGTTGGTCCCCCCTTTGCAGCTATAACAGACTCCACTCTTCTGGGTAGGCTTTCCACTAGATGTTGGAACATTGCTGTGGGGACTTGCTTCCATTCAGTCACAAGAGCATTAGTGAGGTCGGGCACTGATGTTGGGCGATTAGAACTGGCTCGCAGTCGGCGTTCCAAATCAACCCTAAGGTGTTCGATGGGGTTGAGGTCAGGACTCTGTGCAGGCCAGTCAAGTTCTTCCACACCGATCTCGACAAAGTATTTCTGTATGGACCTCGCTTTGTGCACGGGGCATTGTCATGCTGGAACAGGAAAGAGCCTTTGACAAACTGTTGCCACAAAGTCGGAAGCACAGAATCATCTAGAATTGTATGCTGTAGTGATAAGATTCCCTTCACCGGAACTAAGGGGCCTAGACCGAACCATGAAAAACAGCACCAGACCATTATTCCTCCTCCACCAAACTTTACATTTACATTTTTTACATTTTAGTCATTTAGCAGACGCTCTTATCCAGAGCGACTTACAGTTAGTGAATACATTTTTTTTTTTTATACTGGCCCCCGTGGGAATCGAACCCACCACCCTGGCATTTCAAACGCCATGCTCTATCAACTGAGCTACATCCCTGCCGGCCATTCCCTCCCCTACCCTGGACAACGCTGGGCCAATTGTGTGCCGCCCATGAGTCTCCCGGTTGCGGCCGGCTGCGACAGAGCCTGGATTCGAACCAGGATCTCTAGTGGCACAGTTAGCACTGCGATGCAGTGCCTTAGACCACTGCGCCACTCAGTACATTTGGCACTATGCATTGGAGCAGGTAGCGTTCTCCTGGCATCCGCCAAACCCAGATTTGTCCGTTGGACTGCCAGATGGTGAAGTGTGATTCATCACTCCCGAAAACGTGTTTCTACTGCTCCAGAGTCCAATGGCGGCGAGCTTTACACCACTCCATCCGACGCTTGGCATTGCGCATAGTGATCATAGGCTTGTGTGCGGCTGCTCGGCCATGGAAACCCATTTCATAAAACTCCCAACGAACAGTTATTGTGCTGAGGTTGCTACCAGAGGCAGTTTGGAACTCGGTAGTGAGTGTTGCAACTGAGGACAGACGATTTTTATGTGCTATGCGCTTCAGCACTCAATAACAGCACTTACAGTTGACCGGGGAAGCTCTAGCAGGGCAGAAATGTGACAAACTGACTTGTTGGAAAGGTGGCATCCTATGACGGTGCCACATTGGAAGTCACTGAGCTCTTCAGTATGGGCCATTCTACTGCCAATATTTGTCTATGGAGATTGCATGGCTGTGTGCTCGATTTTATACACCTGTCAGTAACAAGTGTGGCTGAAATAGCTGAATCCACTAATTTGACGATAACTAGCTAACAGCAAGCTGACAATATTGAAATGTCCATGTTTGGTGTGCTAAGCTAGCCAGTCTAATAGAGATCAATACAATTAGTGGGGTGGTTAAGTTGTGTATTGTTGTGTGTTTTGTTGTATGTTAGACAGACCACAGGGACATTTCATCATGTAAACAACATTGGTGAACATGCAGGTAATTAGGCCTTTGATCTTAAATATTTGTCCTGTGTGGGTAATTACAAATGTGGCCAATGTGTTCAATGCAGTTTAACATATACATGTTACTCATTTACACCCCCCGCACAGGACAAAGATTTAAGATCAAAGGCGTGATTACCTGCATGTCCACCAATGTTGTTTACATGTTGAAATGTCCCTGTGATCCCTGTGAAATGTCCCTGTGAGGGAAAAAATTATTTTATCCCCTGCTGATTTTGTATGTTTGCCCACTGACAAAGACATGATCAGTCTATCATTTTAATGGTAGGTTTATTTGAACAGTGAGAGACAGAATAACAACAACAAAATCCAGAAAAACGCATGTCAAAAATGTTACAAATTGATTTGCATTTTAATGAGGGAAATACGTTTTTGACCCCTCTGCAAAACATGACTTAGTACTTGGTGGAAAAACCCTTGTTGGCAATCACATAGGTCAGATGTTTCTTGTAGTTGGCCACCAGGTTAGCACACATCTCAGGAGGGATTTTGTCCCACTCTTTGCAGATCTTCTCCAAGTCATTAAGGTTTCGAGGCTGACGTTTGGCAACTCAAACCTTCAGCTCCCTCCACAGATTTTCTATGGGATTAAGGTCTGGAGACTGGCTAGGCCACTCCAGGACCTAAATGTGCTTCTTCTTGAGCCACTCCTTTGTTGCCTTGGCCGTGTGTTTTGGGTCATTGTCATGCTGTAATACCCATCCACGACCCATTTTCAATGCCCTGGCTGAGGGAAGGAGGTTCTCACCCAAGATTTGACGGTACATGGCCCCGTCCATCGTCCCTTTGATGCGGTGAAGTTGTCCTGTCCCCTTAGCAGAAAAACACCCCCAAAGCATAATGTTTCCACCTCCATGTTTGACGGTGGGGATGGTGTTCTTCGGGGTCATAGGCAGCATTCCTCCTCCTCCAAACACGGCGAGTTGAGTTGATGCCATAGAGCTCCATTTTGGTCTCATCTGACCACAACACTTTCACTCAGTTCTCCTCTGAATCATTCAGATGTTCATTGGCAAACTTCAGACGGGCCTGTATATATGCTTTCTTGAGCAGGGGGACCTTGCGGGCGCTGCAGGATTTCAGTCCTTCACGGCGTAGTGTGTTACCAATTGTTTTCTTGGTGACTATGGTCCCAGCTGCCTTGAGATCATTGACAAGATCCTCCCGTGTAGTTCTGGGCTGATTCCTTACCGTTCTCCACGAGGTGAGATCTTGCATGGAGCCCCAGGCCGAGGGAGATTGACAGTGATTTTGTGTTTCTTCCATTTGCGAATAATCGCACCAACTGTTGTCACCTTCTCACCAAGCTGCTTGGCGATGGTCTTGTAGCCCATTCCAGCCTTGTGTAGGTCTACAATCTTGTCCCTGACATCCTTGGAGAGCTCTTTGGTCTTGGCCTGATTGATGATTGCTTCTGTGGACAGGTGTCTTTTATACAGGTAACAAGATGAGATTAGGAGCACTCCCTTTAAGAGTGTGCTCCTAATCTCAGGTCGTTACCTGTATAAAAGACACCTGGGAGCCAGAAATCTTTCTTATTGAGAGGGGGTCAAATACTTATTTCCCTCATTAAAATGCTAATCAATTTATAACATTTTTGACATGCGTTTTTCTGGATTTTGTTGTTGTTATTCTGTCTCTCACTGTTCAAATAAACCTACCATTAAAATCATAGACTGATCATGTCTTTGTCAGTGGGCAAACGTACAAAATCAGCAGGGGATCAAATACTTTTTTCCCTCACTGTATATGAATGACCTTCCACCCCCACCTGGGATATGGATGCCTGATGAAGACCTAAGGGTGCAAAAGTTATAATAAAATCAACTGAGAGCATGAGCAGCAGTGTGCGGCATTTTTATTTTTAATGAATTAACCTACAACTCTAGCACCTGCAAAAACTACCTGGATGTACGTATGCTCTTCTGCTTTTGTATAATGTCCTACATTCACCCACAATTAATTTACAATGTGTACACGTCATGATTGCAAGAAACAACAACACTATTGTGAGGAAAAAAAGACGCATAGGCATCCACAGATTCAAATGTGACAAAGTAGATGACAGTTGAGGTAAAAGAGTGGGGTGGACAGTGTTTTTCCTCTCACTAGGTAATCTGTGCCATCAGTCCCTCTAGCTCTGGACGCGCCTTGAAACGGGTTTGGTAATCTGCCTCTGTGTGCTGGGGAAACAGAAAAGCAAGTGTTATGACACTGAACAATTACTAACAAATGACAAAAGAAGTGTACATACTGTAGATATAGGATATGATCCATGGGCAAAAGAAAAGTAATGCAGAGGTCAACAACACAGATGTCATATGCTCACCGGCTTTACAGAGAGTTGAATCCCCTCTGGCTGATTCTTTAACAGGACCTCCATAAAGGTGGGGCATAATGTGGCGTTTAGTTGGCTGAGCTGTAAACAAAACACTTATCAATGCTCTCTCTAGAGTGAAACGTTGTTTGTCAGTGCAACTGCCAAAAGTTCAGAGAACACATTATCACTCAAAACGCTCCATTACCTGAACAATTCGCTCATGGGTCTTGAGGATGGCATCTACATACATCTTGGTCCCTTGCTCTGGCATGACCATGACTTCCGTGCTCTTAGTGGGCAATGCATAGCTGAGAGGAGAATAGTGTTAGTTCATCCCTTTAAGGTTAGTTAATTAACCAATAATTCAAAGATATTGGATGACGTAATCCCATGCTATGCAAGAGGGCCAAATGTGTGCCTCCTATTGAAGCATTATGAACTTTGCGACAGAGACATGGATATTTGGCCCATCAAATCTCTGAGTGAGGCCAGTAACACAGTGTCTTAAAGTCTACCTCTCACCTCTCAGCCACTTTGACGCCTAGCCGGTTGCAGAGATTATGGACGTACTGGGAGTAGTGCTCTACTAGGATCATGTCATACCCAGACACGTTCACGTTCAGAGTCCCGTACTCTGTATATGTAGCCATTTTGATCTGCTTCATCTGCTGTCTCTCTTTCTTTTTCTTTGGCTGAAGGCACAATACATGTTTTATTAGAAAGTAGACATGGTAACAGTGTAAGCTGGTGGCTTCAGTATTAGAAAGTATAAATAAGTGATGTACTAAGGACTTACCGCTTCTTTGGGTAACAGGTGCTTATATTTGCCAATCCCATGAGTAGGCATGGTCCTGTATTGTCTCTCATTGGAAAAAGACAGACACCCTGTAGAAAACAGTTATCCAGCCAAACAGATGGCTTACATACACTTAGGTAATTATATAAGTGGCAATATAACTTTCAGGATATAATCACTTCCTAAGGCTTTCCTAGAAAGTAAATTGATACACAACAGTAACTAACTATTGTTATTGGTGGGAGGACTTACCCTGAATCGGATGTTGCACTGATAGTGATGCCCTTAAAATAAACATCAGAAACATTATAGACACATTGAAATGTCGCTAGTTACCACCCCATCAAATGAAACCTGATGTGGTAATTATTGTGTCCTGTAACAACCAGCAATTGGCTGCCTATATGCTTTTAACTAGCTTACCCGAATAACAATCCTGCGTGGTCCAACGCACGTGAATGAAGTGCGAAGGAAGCCTGTAACTGGATAGAAGACAAACAAACAATCTATCATATACAAGTGTTTTGATATACTGACATGTTTGACCTTCCGTCTTACTAGCCAGCTAGCTACATCAACAATAAACGTGTCAAACACAATTTCTGAGTAGAAGACACACTACCTTGCGAATGACAGGATTCATTGCTTCAATTTTAAGATTATGTAATCACGTCACAACTCTCGAAATTATGTTAGATTCACAATTTTGCAGCAGCCAGTTGTTGCACATGTACACCAGAGGTTCTGAGAAAAACACTTCCGGTTGGTCCATCTGACTAAAATGTGGTATGGAACAAGGACAATATCTTATTTCCGCTTTCAAATGTGTTTGCTTCTCGCTTGCAGTTGCTTCTTCTATGTTTTATTACATTTTATTTAATATATCAATCAAAGAGAATACTAGCCGAGTATGAGGGTATTTGATACAGCCAAACAAGTGTATAAGATGTCATTATTGCTCACTGCACAATGTCATTGTATTACAAAGAATGACGGCATTGCGTTCAAAGTCCGATGCTGGCCCTGGAAACGTGGCGTCCTCGTAAAGCAACCTGCATCAACTCCCCTTTCATCTGACATATGCTAGGATGTGTATTTACATTGCATTACATTGCAAAAACTTCGTACCATGAAATATGCAAATTCCATCAATCGTTCACTTCAGGACGTGCGAACACAACACAAAACAAACGCCACGTTTTAATGTATTTCGACACTGATTCCCATTCTGAAATAGCTACTATATTATTGACGGATATATATTGGAAAGTTTATGTGGCGGGTCACGAAATGGGTGCGTTCGTAAATTCACTCTCTACTCCAATTTCAGAGCACTCTCGTCTGAGTGTGCCAGAGCTCAGAATAACTGAGGAATTTACGAACGCATAACACCCGTTGAATATGACCGGTGTCGGTAAACGTAATTAAATTGTTGCCAGCTGCACAGTTACAGTCAACAACGCTCTAAAACACATGAAAACAGCCTAACCAGCTCTGCTAGGGCGAGTAAAATGGTCAGAGTGAAGTGTTCTCCATTTGTGTCTGGAAGTAGCTTGCCAACTTTAGCCATTAGTTTGGGTGCTTGACTGCCATTGGTAGGATCAACCCTACTCCTCGGCGCTCTGATGGCTCCGAGAGCGAAACGCTCTGAATTTATGAACGTACAATCTGACAATCCTTTGAATTTACGAACGCCCAGAGCGCACTCTGGCACTCCAGAGTGAATTTGCGAACACACCCGTAATTTACACCACTGCATCGGAATGCCACAATCGCATTGGATTGGTGGAGCCGTGTGCCCGTCGTCGAACATATTAGGTTGTGACAAACTTCCTCTGAAACGGCTACCTAGCGATGGAGTGGGAGTGCTGAGGTAGTTAGTTAGCCAGGCAGGCAGTGAGTCACAAACAATTCAGCTGAGTGTTTGAGAGTCCGGTATTTACTAGATAGTTATTTAGCTACGAAACTCACCGACTGCCAGTCTAGCCAAGAAACTGTTAGTTTAGGAGCATTGCTAATGCTAGCTAGCTAGTTAACTTAGTTCTTACGGCACAAACCCCTCAACTTGTCAACTCAACTGGCTAGCTAGTAAGGATTTAACGTTAGCTAGCTCACTAAAGTAAGGGATAGTGTGTTTTTCCCACACTGTGGGCCACAGTCTACAACTTGTATTTGCCTGCCTAACAATATTGCAGTCATGTCCGCGGCAGGAGACTTCGGAAACCCTCTAAGGAAATTTAAATTGGTCTTTCTTGGCGAACAGAGCGGTAAGTGAACACTGTGTGGGGTAACGACTAACGTGTTGTGGTCATCATCAGTTTAGCTATTAACTGGCTAACTAGCTAATGCCAGCTCTCTTCAATCATCCTGGGCGAGTTCCTTAGTTTTAATCGATATCCACCGACAGCCATAATAACGAGACCATGGCGATTAAATTATCTAAATAGCTACGATTAGTGATATTGAACCTATCGGTGATATCAAGTGTTTAGCTACTTCGTTGCTACCCTAGCTAGCTAACTAGTTATTTAACGACCGTTAACTAAGCTAGCAAGCTGTTGGGTGACGAGTTGTTTCTAGTTCACCCAGTCAGTCAGGTCAGCAGTCGAGTTGTAACGACGTTAACTAAAATAAATCGAAACACTACGTTAACTAGCTATCCAGTTGCTACATACTACTAGAATATAACCCGTTATGGTAGGTTGGTATAACTATGGCATACTATGTTTAGGTTATCTAGGTTTGATGTATCTCATTCACAATCAACTATGGTCGGTGTTGATTGAACAGTCAGAAATTTCAGATTTGTCTTTGGTGTTGTTCAGAGCAGTTGTCAAGTTTTCGGTGCTAACGTTAGCCATCTGTCGTTACTCTGGCCAAATACAGCCTCTGTGTCAAGAAAGATGTCGCATTGTACGTCAAACCAAAGCGTCAGTATCAATGCGTGGGCGCTTTGCCAATGTTTATTAATGTCTTTATGCTAACGTTATATGGTTGATTTATAGACTCATGCCTGCCAGCCAGCACTGTCTTCTTCTCTCGTGGAGAGTTGGCACTTCATGTTGTACATTTCAACAGATTTCTGTTCTCATGATGTGGTGGCAATTCTGTTTCTCTTTTAAAAAGCAACGGTTCTTATAAAACCACCTGTTTCTCTGATTCTGACAACCAGTTGAGCTATTGTGCTGGATGGGATCAGAGATACCCGTAACCCAACTTTCCCACAACGTAGATTGCAGACAGAACCACTGATTTGAGGCCTGTGGTTTTCAGAGCCCCTTTCTTTGCCAGCATTGTTCAACATAAGCACTGTGGTGTGCAGGATATCACATCTGTGTCTTCCCTGACTCCATTCAGGATGACCACAGGTTTCAGCCCTCTGGAGCTCTCACCGCAATCAAACAGCTCCTACTTAACTCTAGAATTAAGCAATTAACCTCTCTGTCCAACTTTAGTTGATTTCTCTGACCTCTAGTTATTGGATGGGGGCCCTGTTTCAATCACAATTCTTTGTTGAGACACAGAGAAATATCGAATTGAACAGGAACTAGTGTGGTTTGGGGCTTTAGGATGCAAATACAGTAGTATGATGGATATGTCATATAACATTACTGCATTGAGGAACAGCCAAGGACTGGAATGATGCCTTAACCTGGGTTACAGGCCTGATCTCAGCACTGCTGAGGGGGTGGGATGGTATGGCGGTGGCCTGGAAGTCAATCTGTTCCTTTCATCGTATGCAAGCCTATAAAATAGTATATCCTATATACCACTGTCAGCAACAAACATCCCCCTCCTCTAACCAGAACCAATGCTACACTTCAATGAGATTTATGTGTGTGTTTGTGCTGCTAACAAACGTGTGTGATGTTTCTGTTGAGACTGGAGTTAGGGAGGAGTAATGTGGAGAATATACTGCTGTGATTTATTTTGCGTTCTGCCCAAGAGGAATGAAGCCTGACCTCTCACCCCTTCGCAGCCATTTATGTAAGCAGGGATTTCTGCGCTGGTGTGAGAGGTGAACACTGGATCAGAGTGAATAACTCCTGCCTTTTCATGTGCACAAATTAGGCCTAGTCAGTATAAATCCCTCAACGCTGGGAAACACACAAACGACAGACTTAACACTCATATGTTTTTGTCTGACATGTACAACTGTCCAGACTAATGAAAATGGGTATAGATTTTAAGTGACTTTACTTCTCAGGTGTTTTCGCCATTAGATCTTATCAGTGTAATTACTAATTGCATGTTTGAAAGGACGGCCTGACCCTCCCAAATTAGGCCTACCCTTCCCTATAATTATGAGATGTTAAATCGAGGTCCTGACTCTCTGTGGGCAAGAGTAGGGAGGGAGTGTTTATCCTGGTTTCTTGGCTGGTTCCCAATTCCCAACCTGGTCATCGTATTACTCTGGCCACCTAATCATCCCCAGCTTCCAAATGTCTCTTTGAGCTACTCATCTCCCCGAAAACTCTTTCCTAGGCTGTTGCTAAAGTGTTCTCACCTCTTAGACAACTTACCTGGTAAGTAAAAATAATGCTAAAAACAAACAGCTCTCTTGCTAGCAGGCATGTAAGCATGTTTATATTTATTTAAGGAATACAATTTTGTTTTTAGGAAGTGGTGGGCCTCTAAATTAAACATTATTTTGAACTCCGCCCAGGGAAACTGGGAAGGGGGCGGTCTTGAACTCAAACTAGGTTATGGTTTTCCTCTCAGGAATAGTAGAGGTGGGCAATGGAATCGGTCAAGTCCTACCTTCTAATTTTAGGGAACACCACAGACGGGTTGGTGAGGGAAGGTGCAAGAAGGAGACTGAAGAAATTCGTCTTGGTCCCTAAGAACCTCACAAACTTCTACAGATGCACCATTGAGAGCATCCTGTTGGGCTGTATCGTCACCTGGTACAGCAACTGCACCGTCCACAACCGCAGGGCTCTCCAGAGGGTGGTGCGGTCAGCCCAGCGCATCACCGGGGTCACACTGCCTGCCCACCAGGACATCTACAGCACCCGGTGTCACAGGAAAGCCAAGAAAATCATCAAGGACCTCAGCCACCCGAGCCATGCCACGGCCTGTTCACCCTGCTACCATCTAGAAGCGGAGACATTACAGGTGCATCAAAGCTGAGATGGAGAGACTGAAAAACAGCTTCCATCTCCAGGCCATCAGACTGTTAAACAGTCACCACTAGCCGGCCTCCGCCCAGTTCCCTGCCCTGAACTTTAGTCACTGACCGTGTCCGAATGCCCATACGTGCGTCCTACACTGTACAAAACATTAAGAACACCTTCCCAATATTGAGTTGCATTTGCCCTCAGAACAGCCTCAATTCGTCGGGGCATGTACTCTACAAGGTGTCGATTAGCGTTCCACAGGGATGCTGGCCCACGTGGACTCTTAATGCTTCCCACAGTTGTGTCAAGTTGGCTGGATGTCCTTTGGGTGGTGGACCATTCTTGATACACACAGGAAACTGTTGAGCGTGAAAAACCTAGCAGTGTTGCAGTTCTTGACACAAACTGGTGTGCCTGGCACCTACTACCATACCCCGTTCAAAGGCACTTAAATATTTTGTCTTGCCCATTCACCCTCTGAATGGCACACATATACAATCCATGTCTCAAGGCTTAAAAATCATTCTACCCTGATTTGAAGTGAATTTAACAAGTGACAATAAGGGATCATAGCTTTCACCTAGTCTGTCATGGAAAGAGCAGGTGTTCTTAATGTTTTGTACTCTCAGTGTATCTTCTGTATTCTAGTCGAGGCCTATTCTATATTACTACTGCTGTACACACCTTTGCTATTCATATACTGCCCATAATGTTTTTATACACACCATCATATATATTTATATCCTGGACTCTGACATTGCTCGTTCTATATTTCTTAATTCCTTTCTTTGGGGGGGGGGGGGGGGGATTTGCGTGTTTTGTATTGTCAGGTATTACTGCACTGTTACTGCAGCTAGGAACATAAACATTTCGCTACACCCGTGAAAACATCTGCTAAATATGTGTATGCGACCAATTTTGATTTGTTTTAATATGGGGCTATGGGGAAAGCTGTACCGTTTGATTGGGAATACATTTCTACCTGTGGCAGCTACAAGGTATTCTCTGTCAAATCATGGCATGTTCATTCACTGGTCAGCGTTAGTGGCTCCACAGAATGATTTAAATGTAGCTGGGGGCCTTTGCCATCTGGCATTCCTGTCACAAGAATGTCACTCTTATCTTCCCTTCCATACTTAGCCCATGCTGGGGATTGGTGTCACGTCCTGCCTTTAATCTATGTACACTCAATGGCACAAGAGCTGCTCCATTTTCTTGCATTCAAGGAGAAGTTTTCAGTTTCAAAAGTAGCCATGTCATTGGTATATTTTAGAGGTCACACACTGGGCAGGTTGACCTCTTCAACTCTTTGTCTGTATTTAACTTCCATTGATGCCCATTTGATTGGCTGTTTGCTATCAGGAAGAGAATCAGGTAGAACGAGATTAGGCATATTGACTGAGGAATCAATTATTGAAAAGAGTTTGGTCTTTGGCTTGTCAAAAGAGAAGTATGTAAGACAATGTCATGTCTATTACATTGAGATGAAGAGAATGGAGTGAGAGAAGATTACATAAGGCCTCTAGATCACTCCCTCTGGCCCCATAACCTAACCTGTGGATTGGTGTGTCTCATCATCCTGATGAATGACAGGACCATAAGGTCAGGCTGAGCCACTGTTTCCCAATCTCCCCTAGCTAGTAGGCCTATGATATGTAGCAAAAACTAGACCACTGCCTGTCCCTAGTGCTCAAATCTGGCACACATTCGTCCCAGTGTTGTTGGTGTAGTGGTGTATATATATATATTGATGACTCTGAGCAATCTGTACCAGAGACCTGTGTGTACTGTGATTCTGAACACTGCTGTGTTATTGAGAGCTCTGCACAGGATCCATGACTTGAGGTCTACCCAGCCATGAGCAACAGTGATACAGTGGTAATATGATAGAGGGGTTGGGTGAGATGTACAGGGAAGGAGTAGGAGGGAGGGGGAGGTTGTACTGGAAATTAATACTTGTGCATTCCACGATGTGGTAGACTGGAGCAATGAAACAAAATGACTGTCTTTGTTTTCCCTGTTTTAATCCCTCCCTAATTTCCCTTGAGGTGTTGTCACATGCCAGTGCAGGGCGAGGGAGAGTGAGAGACATTCTCAGTATGCAAAAATAGAATGTTTAATAGTATGCAACATTTCGAAAATCAAGTATTGTTTAAATGCCAGTATGTTATGTCTGGGTTGGCATTGAGAATCTCCCAGCATTCCTTGGAGGGTTTTTTCAAGTCAATTCAAAAACCCTTCCGGATTTCTTATGTCATTTTTACTGATGTTCTCTCCCTTAAAGTGCAGACTCAGCAGACAGCTCCTCATGGTCTCTTACTCCAGGCCTCTTGGTTGGTTGGAGTCAAGTCATAAAGTAGTGGTGAGCTGTGGGCTTTGGTTAGAAAACAGATGGTGCACCTCAGCAAATTGTCTGAGGAGGAGTTGCTGTGTTCGGAGAATTGCAGCACCAAATCAGGCTAGAACATGTCTTATGTTAGCTATGTGAAATGAGACTCATTACACGCTGGTCTGGTGAGGCCTCCAGTACTGTGTGTCTGTCTCTGTTTTGTCAGTGCTATGTGCCATCACTACTAGTGTTACTTACCCTTCAAGACCATAATCAGGGCCATAGCCAGGGACTGATGGTAGGGGAGGGGGAGCGGAGTTGAAGATCATTTACTGCATTTCTATACAATTTAAAAACTCTAAAAGGCTATGTGGAGAACAGCAGAAACAAGCCGAAATGGCCCCATTTCTTATCACCTTGGCTGCTGTAGCTTCATTCACCACAGTCGATCTACAGACCCATAGCCTATTAGCTATACAATTAGCCGCTACACGTTAACTCACATTAACTCAGCACCGGGATTAAAAACTGTAATTTCATACTTACAGAGGGATCTGTTAGCAGAAAAAGTATTTTATAAACAAAAGGTAAACAAATATGTTGGCTTTACAGAGCAGTCTTTTGGTGCAGTGTTCCAGCTAATCTCCTGCAATTCTACACATTTTGCCATTACTTATGCCATGTTAATATGAAATCTGAGTGAAAGTGATTAACAAAATCAATAAGCCCCCTGGAGGTCAGGGCCCCTGTTCATGTGCCCGGCCAGTAATTCGGCCATGATTACTAAAAGTTAAGATAGCTGTCTAGACTAATTGAGTGACTGTCAGTGACCACGTTTACATACACACCAATATCCTGTTATTATTCGGGATACTCAAGTACTCTGTTTTTGAGTTGACGCATATAAACATCATATCCCGTTTACAATAACCCAAAAAAGCTTGTATCCCATTTATGAGAAACCCGGATAAGATGCCTTGGATATGCTGATCTAAGACGGATACTGTGGCATGTAAACATCTTATCCTGTTTAATGTTGTTTTTGCGGTCTGCGCAGGCTCAGTTTCGAATATCATGGGTGTTGTGATGTTTTCATCTGATTGTCAAACAAATCACTTCAAAAAGTAGGTTACCTGCACATTTCGCTCCACCATAATAATTCCATAATTTAGACTACTATAATTAATTTACTATAATTTACTACTGGCTACTTTCACCCCTAATTTACACAAGTTTCTGCTTATAATTTCTGGCATTTGGTATGCCATTTGTTTGTCAACTATAGTTTGATACATGCAGTTTCTCTTCTGTCATAACTTGTTGCCCAGAAGACTAAAGTAGTGCTCACCAGAATAATGTTTTACATCGATAGAAGGAATGCGTTAGTAATCTAGTTAACACCTGTAAAGTTGTCTGTTTCGTTTAGGAACCGGGGAGAAAACGCAATAATGTCCAAATGTCATCAGTTTGACCGGTTTTAAGGAAATGAAAAGCGGAGAAAATTATGAAACATGTTTCTGATAAGACTTCAGTTAGTCTTGGGTGCATATTTTATGTGGTTAAAATACTGTCAGCTTGCATAACAGTGTCAAAGATAACACATTACACACGCATTCACATTTTCTCAAGAGATGCTGAAAGAAAGAAATAATTTCTCCACTCCTGTTTGTTCTCCGCTAACATCTGTTGTATAATTTCACTGCAAGTTAATATTGTATTACGCTACATGTGAGAGGTTATAGGCCTACAGTCAGTGTCCATATTTCAGTTACTATTCCAATTAATCCATATACTTAAATGAGGAATATTTTGTTTATTCATGGTACAGGGATACTCATGAGCGGGATATCAAAGGTGCATGTAAACAGCTACTATATGAGCTACTATCCAAAATACTGTGCACATGTAAACGGGGTCATTGAGTGACATCAAGAGGAAAACTGCAGATGCACAACCAATTTTCAAAATTGCACCTTGTGTATTCTACTATTCTAACTCAACAGTAAGTTGAGACCCTGACTGAGTTCCTAAAAATGTAATTAAAAATAAATCAAATTCGGAAAAATTACAGCGATCCGGAGTTCTGTGTCCTTACGTAGCTATATTGGTTCTAACATGTGTCTTGTGTTTTTCAGTGGGGAAGACTTCATTGATTACCAGGTTCATGTACGACAGCTTCGACAACACCTACCAGGTAAGGCTAGACCACACAGACACCATTTAATCTGGATATGATAGTTAGGGCTAGGTTTACTACGCCGTTGGTCTCAATGCCTAACCCTAGTCCTGGTCCTACAACAGGGTGGGCAGGCATTTGCTCCAGACCAACACTAACACACTTGATTCAGCTAGTCTGTCTTTATGATTAGCCAATTGAATTAGGTCCATCCCGTGTAGCTCAGTTGGTAGAGCATGGCGCTTGCAATGCCAGGGTTGTGGGTTCGATTCCCACGCAGGGCCAGTATGAAAAATAAATAATGTATGCACTAAGTCTGCTAAATGACTAATGTAAATGTCTGTTAGTGCTGGGCTCGACTAGGCAATATGTTTGTTGTTCCTTCATTTCAGTCTAACTACAGTACTAAAGCCTTTCCTTATCAATCTACCATCTTCATCATTGTCAGAAACTTTCTCATTCTTCATTCTTTCTCATTTCCAGGCCACAATAGGAATAGATTTCTTGTCAAAAACCATGTACCTCGAAGACCGAACAGTAAGTTTGACTTTCTTCTTTTTAAATCGATCTCTCTTGAAATTGTCTTATTCCATGGAGTGGTAATATGCTGATTATGATTGGAATGAGTTCATTTAAGTGAGTGTGTTAATCATGACTGTGGTGTTATGTGATACTTTTACTGAGGAATGTTAAATTGCATTATGGTGATTTTTAGAAAATGTCTCTCTTTGAAATGTAAAGATGTACCCATTCACTGGTACGCACGCACCCCCACCAAATCACACAGGTCTCTGTCTTTACTGTATCCTTGCCAACAGTGGTTTCTGGGACTTTGGGGATGCTGGGTATCCTGTGTCCTGACTCTGTCTGCTCTAACTGTGTTTTATCCTGGCCCAGGTTCACACACACAGCACACACACTAGCACCTTAAAGAAGCCGGAGAGCCGCCCTGTCCTGGACTTGGATCCTGCCTCTTCCCTTTCTTCCATTTTCCCCATCTGCTCATATTCGGTTCATTCTGGTTCTGAAATTCAATATCTAGTGTGAAGGAGAGAAGATCATCTCAGAAATGAGGCCTAGTACCCATGATTCCCCTGGCCCTCACCATTCCTCCTATGGTCACACACTCCCTGCATGCAACCCTCTTTCTCTCTCTCTCTCTCCCGTTCTTCTCTATTTCTCTCCCTTTTCTCTCATTCAGAAGTTGATTCAATTTTGATTTGTTTTATTTCTTTATTCTTTTTGGTTTCTTACTTCATGTTTCCATTGTTTCTGCGCTCCTTTTGTCTCCTTTTCTTTTCATCCTTTCTTTTTCCTTTTCTTTTCCTTTATTTCTCCTCCCATCCGCCACAGATCAGGTTGCAGCTGTGGGATACGGCTGGGCAGGAGCGTTTCCGTAGCCTCATCCCCAGTTATATCCGAGACTCTGCCGCCGCTGTCGTAGTATACGACATCACAAGTAGGTACTCCCCTCCGCGCCCCGCCCACTCGACGTGCGTGCGTGACCCCCCCCTCAACCCTCGTCCAGTTCTCCCCTCTCTTACCACCACCTCTTCCTCTCCTCCCCTCTTGCCCCTCTCCTCCATCTCTCCCCTTCTCCTTCTCTCCCTGTGTGCTGGTGGTAACGTGCTGCTCAGGTGAGACTGCAGCTTTGGGACACAGCCGGCCAGGAGCGCTTCCGGAGTCTGATCCCTAGCTACATACGAGACTCCACCGTGGCCGTGGTAGTCTATGACATCACAAGTGAGTGCGGTCCCTATTGATGGAAAAGTGATGGAAGGATACCAATCAAAACAAAAAAAGATGTCCTCCTTTTTTGCCGCTGGCTCAAGTCCCTTTTCTATTTTCTGTTTTTCCATTCTCCTTTTTTCCCCTACCTGATGCCTTTTGTCCCCTTTTCATGTTTGTTGATGTTTTCCTCCCACTCTTTTTTTGTATATGTCCACTTGGGCCACTTCCTTATTTAGTCTGCTTTTTGCGTGATTGTAGTCTGTGAACATTTCTCTGTTTCAGTATTAAATAGACAAATATTAATTTGTTCACCAGAAGGGCAAAGCATTCGGTAGCATACATACAACCCAATTAAATATTAGGCTACAGACAAAATAGCTTTGAATAGTAAATATCAGTCGGTAAAATCTGTTTATACTAAATAGTTTAGTAGTTTCGTAGATGATTTCTTGTTTTTTCCAATAGAGCAATCTAATTTCTTTTCAATCCTTCCCTATCTTTATTTCTCTGGACCAGTCTTTCTTGATCTCTCTTTTTTGGTCATGTCAACCATGACTTCTTAGGTTTGTTGTTCACCCATATACAAAACAATGAAGTGTCTTATTTAGTTTCATTAGAAATAATTGGTATCGGCAGCTTTGATGTTGCTTCAGGGGCCTATTTTGCCTGATTATTAAATAACAATGTTCAGTTTTCACATGTGTCTCTGCTACCATGTGTGTATGTGTTAGGTGATTGGCCATTAGGGGGAGATAAAAGCAGACATGGCTCTGCAGCAGGGCTAGAGGACATCTATTTAACTGGCTCTCTGGGGAGGAAGTCTGACTGTCACTTCAGAAAAACGGACACCACTTCCAGCTGGATAGACCGTTAAATACATATATACAGTCGTGGTCAAACGTTTTGAGAATGACACAAATACTAATATTCACAAAGTCTGCTGCCTCAGTTTTGATGATGGCAATTTGCATATACTCCAGAATGTCATGAAGAGTGATCAGATGAATTGCAATTAATTGCAAAGTCCCTCTTTGCCATGAAAATGAACTTAATCCCCAAAAAACATTTCCACTGCATTTCAGCCCTGCCACAAAAGGACCAGCTGCCATCATGTCAGTGATTCTCTCGTTAACACAGGTGAGAGTGTTGACGAGGACAAGGCTGGAGATCACTCTGTCATGCTGATTGAGTTAGAATAACAGACTGGAAGCTTTAAAAGGAGGGTGGTGCTTGAAATCATTGTTCTTCCTCTGTTAACCATGGTTACCTGCAAGGAAACACGTGCCGTCATCATTGCTTTGCACAAAAAGGGCTTCACAGGCAAGGATATTGCTGCTAGTAAGATTGCACCTAAATCAACCATTTATCGGATCATCAAGAACTTCAAGGAGAGAGGTTCAATTGTTGTGAAGAAGGCGTCAGGGCGCCCAAGACAGTCCAGCAAGCGCCAGGACCGTCTCCTAAAGTTGATTCAGCCGTGGGATCGGTGCACCACCAGTGCAGAGCTTGCTCAGGATTGGCAGCAGGCAGATGTGAGTGCATCTGCACGCACAGTGAGGCGAAGACTTTTGGAGGATGGCCTGGTGTCAAGAAGGGCAGCAAAGAAGCCACTTCTCTCCAGGAAAAACATCAGGGACAGACTGATATTCTGCAAAAGGTACAGGGATTGGACTGCTGAGGACTGGGGTAAAGTCATTTTCTCTGAATCCCCTTTCCGATTGTTTGGGGCATCCGGAAAACACCTTGTCTGGAGAAGACAACTACCTCAACTAGCCGGTGCCCCAGCACATTGACTCTGCAGCGGTAGCCCCCTGTATATAGCCTCGCTACCATCAGTCCTGTGTCATGCCAACAGTAAAGCATCCTGAGACCATTCATTTGTGGGGTTGCTTCTCAGCCAAGGGAGTGGGCTCACTCTCACAATTTTGCCTAAGAACATAGCCATGAATAAAGAATGGTACCAACACATCCTCCGAGAGCAACTTCTCCCAACCATCCAAGAACAGTTTGGTGACGACCAATGCCTTTTCCAGCATGATTGAGCACCTTGCCATAAGGCAAAAGTGATAACTAAGTGGCTCGGGGAACAAAACATCGACATTTTGAGTCCATGGCCAGGAAACTCCCCAGACCTTAATCCCACTTGTGGTCGATCCTCAAGAGGCGGGTGGACAAACAAAAACCCACAAATTCTGACAAACTCCAAGCATTGATTATGCAAGAATGGGCTGCCATCAGTCAGGATGTGGCCCAGAAGTTAATTGACAGCATGCCAGGGCGGATTGCAGAGGTCTTGACAAAGAAGGGTCAACACTGCAAATATTGACTCTTTGCATAAACTTAATGTAATTGTCAATAAAAGCCTTTGACACTTATGGAATGCTTGCAATTATACTTCAGTATACCATAGGAACATCTGACAAAAATATCTCATAACACTGAAGCAGCGAACTTTGTGAAGACCAATACTTCAAATCAAATTTTAATGGCCACATGCGCCAAATACAACAGTGAAATGCTTACTTACAGCCCTTAACCAACAGTGCATATATCTTTTTAATAAAAAAGTAAAATAACAAAAAAGTGTTGAGAGAGAAAAAAAGAGCAGAAGTAAAATAAAATAACAGTAGGGAGGCTATATATACAGGGGGGTACCGCTGCAGAGTCAATGTGCTGGGGCACCGGCTAGTTGAGGTAGTTGAAGTAATATGTACATGTGGGTAGAGTTAAAGTGACTATGCATAAATAATTAACAATACTTGTGTCATTCTCAACTTTTGACCACGACTGTACAGTCTATGTCCCTCAAACTCAACTCTGGACCTTGAAGCCAGTTCCACTGCATCTTTTCATTGTTCCCCTCTAATCAGGGACTGATTTAGCCCTGGGACACCAGGTGTGTGCAATTAATTATCAGGTAGAACAGAACCAGCAGGCTCCGGACCTCGTAGGGTAAGAGTTGAGTACCCCTGGTCTGTGGGATAAACAGATAGACAGGAAGGCAGAATACAAGGAAATGGATAGATAACATAGTAGCCTAGATGGATGGATGGTGTAGTGGCTAAATTGTCCAATTTAATTGTACCAAAACAATTTCCACAGTGGAGAGTGGTGAAATGTTAGTCTTGACGCATACAAATCCAATGTCCAGAGTGATTCAAGTTGAAAAATAATCGTCAATTAATTTTTCGTTCTTCTGTTTACAAAATGTAAAGAAAAATCTAACAAAACGAATTCTGATCATTCAAACTAAAGAAACAAATAGCATGGTCTGGTATGGTCAAAAGTCTGCTGCCGTTCCAGTCAATCCCAGTAAGCCTTGGAGTCTGTAGGCCTTTTAACTGTATTCTCCATCAGCCTGTCGAGTGGGGTACACACACTTGACATGGGATTAGTGGCAAACACACACAACTGAAATTCCTTATGAATTTGAAACATAAAAATGTACAATATAACCTATTTGGCTCCTACATATGGATAAATAGATAGGACATGGGAGCTGGATTTACTTAGTTTAATGATCTTACTTGTTGTTACATTCTCTGTATATTTGTTACTGTCTCTGTCATTCTGCTCATCACCACAATTCAGTACTCGTCACAACCTGAATAGAGATGAACATGTATTCTCTGATCTCTCTCTCTCTCTCTCTGCCCTACTCCCCTCCCTCCCTCCTCCTGTGTCAGATGTCAACTCTTTCCAGCAAACCACAAAATGGATTGATGACGTCAGAACGGAGAGAGGAAGTGATGTCATCATCATGCTGGTGGGAAACAAGACGGACCTTGCAGACAAAAGGTGTGAGTGACGTAATAACTGAAGGCTAAAGTCAGTAAGCCTGTAGAGCTCTTCAGTCCTCCTCAGACCAGGGGCCTCATAATAATTGAGTCAATTTTACACTAAATATCTGTGTGAGCCATTTCTGAAAAGACTGCGCACGCACAAATATAGAGATGTATAAACTTGGTGCATGCCATACATGCATACGCATGTTTCCCGTTATAAATCAGACCTCTCGTAAAACTGCACGCCTGAAAAATGCCCTTCATTCACCTTTTATGGTGACGATAACGCCCTTATTTGCTGTATACTGTAGAAGTATTGGAATTAGGCCAAGATGGCCTCTAAAGGAAATAACAATGGCGAAATTGATCAAATGTCTTTGGCGGTGTTGATAGGCTATAGCAAATGTCAATGCAAAAGAAAACATCCTATCTGACCGTTTCTGAAAGACAAAAGCAATTGCAAGTTGTGGACCTGTAAACTGATCGTTTCCATGTCCATTTCCTGCAATGATCATGGAAATGAAATAAATAATAGGAAATAGATGCCTATTTCGAATTATTTTAGAATGCAAAGATAAAATACATTTATTTTCGCTTTTACATTTTAGTCATTTAGCAGACACTCTTATCCAGAGCGACTTACTGTTAGTGAGTGCATACATTTTTCATACTGGCCCCCCGTGGGAATCGAACCCACAACCCTGGCGTTGCAAGCGCCATGCTCTACCAACTGAGCTGGATCTTATTATATTCAGCTAACTTTTTTTTTGTTATTATTAATGTATCATATATTCCTGCACAAGGCTTCTAGGCTACTTTTGCCTTCTTGCAATGCAATACTTCAACCAGTGGAAACTGTGCGTACGCATAGTCTAAAGTTTGCGGGAGGATAAGCACATTCTCACGTTCAGTTTTTATAAATGCCATCTTTTGCGTGAGAACCGGCACACACATTTTTTTAGGGCATATTTTGTGCTTATGCAACATTTTATAAATGAGGCCCCAGGTCCTGGAGGGCTCTCTCCATTGGAGCATACTAATGAATCCACTGATTGTAACTGTAGAGAGATTTAAGACTGTCTGAGACCTTTAGGCTCTCCTGTGTTGAGTGGGAAACACTGCTGTCTAGGTACGGCTGAGCAGGGACTTGTTGGCCATAACAAGGGATCCAACCTCTTCCTTTGATACAGGCCCTATAGAGACTGATCTGTCAGGGGTTGAATAGACCACACAGAGACTCTTTTGAGATTAGCATGACCTAGATATATTAGAATTATTCAGAGATTCAACTGATCATAGCATGTCTTATCCATTTGTGTGTTCAAACAATTGTGATAGCCAAACCGCTCCTTTTTATTTTAACACATGGTTTGCCACTATAACCCCCAATGCTTTTCGCCTTAAAACAACTGCTTTGAATTACTATTCCCATTTTTTATTTTTATTGATTGCTGTCCTGCTGTGTTGTATTATTGGCATGCTGTGTCTATATGAACTGACCGTATGCTGTTGCTGTGCATATTTAACCCTCTTATCTACCACAGGCAAGTTGCTATTGAAGAGGGTGAGAGGAAGGCCAAAGAGCTAAATGTAATGTTTATTGAGACTAGTGCTAAAGCAGGTTACAACGTCAAGCAGGTGAGTTTGTGACTGAGTCGTGCTCTCCGTCCATGCTTCCACTGCTGCTGCCTCGGCTCACCGTCGAAAGGTCACCCATTATAGTCAGAGTTCAGGGGTTAAGGGTCAAATGCTACAGTAATGATGGATGGGTAGGTTTAGTTTAGCCCAATCCTTATATGGAATATGTAAGGTCATTAGCATTTGTGAAATGGCTCGCACAGGCACACCATTCTATAATACCCATTGATTGATAATTTTAGATTTAAGCGCCTTTCATTTGTATCCTATATGGTGTATTGAACCAGGAGCTGAGGTGGTACTCTGAGGTGTTGAGAGATGAAGTAGGAGCTGTGTGGGCACTTTTCGACGGAGCAGAGGTTGCAGGAGGAGAAGCAGCAGGAGGAGACACGGCATGTTCATCCTTCACTTCATGATGTTCACCTTCTCTTTTTCATGTGTTTGTGTACATCTGGTGTGTGTGTCTGTGTCGTGTGTCATCGCAGACAGATAACCACAGAAGAAGGGGAACAGAGAGCCAAAGAGCTGAATGTTATTTTTATTGAAACAAGTGCAAAGACAGGCTACAATGTCAAACAGGTAGAGCGCAGCGTGTGTGTGATGTGTGCAGTGCTCACGCGTTCTTCTGACAGCTTCTCTCTCATGTGTGCGCGTGCATATCACCATGCGTGTGTTGAACGCTGGCTTGCATTTACACTAAATGGGGTCCTTGGATATGTCTCAGAACTCCTGCCTACCAATCTCATGTCAGTCATAATAACCAAAGACCAGAGGGTTCTTTGCACCCTGGGACAGACCATCCACTGCCCTTTAGAGGTGTGGGCTCAGAGTTGGTCTGCTGGGTGGGACAGAGTTTTTAGACTTGTAATCCACACCCCAGGTTTGATTTGAAGTGATTTCTCTGACCAATATCAAATTATTATATTTAATGCATTATCTGCATGATCTTGAACTCCTCCTCTCCAGCAGGTTCATTTATTGGATGGTATTCTACCTCCTTTTAGGAGGATATGTATATGATTACTGCTGTCTACCTTAAACCAATTAATGAACAAAGCTTGAATCAGTCTGGATACTATCTTAAGCATTGGGTTTCGTGAGCTCTACAGTAGGTTTGTGTGGAAGGCACGCTGTACAGATCATTTATGAAAGAGGCCTTTGTTCAAACCCTCAGGCAAGTGAACATATTATTAAAGCAAGCAGCGTACATGAGGAGCAGTTTCCCCTGCTCAAACCAACTAAGATAAAAGAATGAGCTCTGATTTACTGATTAGAATCATAGATGATTGACCTATCAAACGCACACAGATTCTATGGGCTCTCCTTTCTCATGGTGTCTGCCTCTGGACAGGTGAACCTTACAGTGTGCCTGTTTTAATGCTTCCAATGACGATGTATTAAGAAGACCGAAAGCCCACAGAGCTGCCCTGCCCTCTCTGTGGATGGCAGGCCACATGTCAGGGCAGGATGTCTGGAATGGTCTGACTCTGACAGACAAGGTCTGTTCTCTCTCCTGCAGCTGTTCCGGCGCGTGGCTGCTGCCCTCCCTGGCATGGAGAGCACACAGGACAAGAGCAGAGAAGACAGTATCCTTACTCTACACAGACACACGTGTGTATGACTACACATGTTTTTCAGTGGCAATAGTAGTTATAAATGCTTACAGATTGTACTCAAACATTTAGAGACACCTATTGGCTAGCTTGTAAACCTATTGACACATATTGAGAAGATGGGAAGTGTTTGAAAGGACTTCATGTGTTCCTGTCTGACCTCTCTGAGTTGGTCCTTAACCCCTCCTCCCCCAGTGATTGACATAAAGCTGGAGAAGCCCCCAGAACAGCCCGTCAGCGAAGGAGGCTGCTCCTGCTAACTCCTGCTAACTCCAGCCTCCGTTTATCACGCTCTTCCCATCCCTCTGTTTCTCTCTCTCTCCTGCGCTTTGTTCTTGATCTTTCTCGCCCTGGCTTATTCACTCCCCCTATTGGCCTCTATACTGTACCTTTCCTCTCTGCTTCACTGCGCTCCCTCTCTGAACTCCTTGATTCCTAACTCCTTCACCGCAGCCTGAAAGAGAAGAACACTACCTGTCCATCATCCTTGTTGTCGTGGAAACCTGCTCTCTCGCTGAGATGACCTTAAGCTTAACAAGCAAAAAGTGGATGTGAATGCTATTATATTTCATTTGAACTTTCACTCTACTTTGGCAATCAAAAAGGAAATTATTTATTGTTAAAAAATATTCAAGCACTGTATCCTGTTTTTCTGTAAAATGCCATGCAAGTGACTCGTTCCTACGTCATACTTCCGTGTTCATATCCCTGGTCTTTTACATGGGCTTCAAGATAATATCTTCATATTTATGAAAACACGGATATATTAGGCTTTGTGGATGAAATTAATTCTGCCAGATGCCTTTTATGACATTTTTGAAGATTGAAGACTATTTAAAAGGCCTAGAAAAGTTCAAAAACTACAAGGTTACTTGCTGCGTCACTTGCATGGGTATACTCTGTGGAAATGGTTGGTTGGACAGTTGTCAAAAATGATGGCAGCATGTGCGGAACCTAGACTTCAGTCATGGATACTGAGTGGAATTTTTCTGCCATAAATGGGTTCTGAATGGATTATTACAGCTCAGCAGCCCCCAAGAATATCACTCACTCAGTGACAGGTAAAAGTTGAGCATACCAACCTTTCCTTTTTTTGCCGGTCCCACCACAGAGTAGCCACACAGTGTCACTCCACAGAAGCATGGTATGACAACACAATGTAGGGAAACTACAAGAACTCACACACACACAGCATCATGACACAGTCCCACCACAATAACGTAAAGTAACAACAATAAAACACAAGGGCAGTCTCACTACCACAACACGACCGTCCTTAATTTCTCCCATTGTCCTCACAAATGAATAAAAACTATCTTCATCTTGGCTGCCATTTTCTATTATATCTCTTGCTTAGATCTTTACTTTTTTGTAAAGAGTACAATTATTATCATAGATGAAAAGATATTGCTTTGGAGAACGGTAGTGTTTGTGAAATGATTTTAGAATGTTGAGAAGTATATTCAACACAAACCCAACTTTGTTAGATATGCAGACATGCCTTTTTAACAGTTAATTGTAGAGGGCTTCCATGGTTTTGGGATTTCCTGGCTTTGTTCGGTTTGGTTTAATGTTATATCGACACTTTAGAGGTATAATTTTTAATTTTTTGGTTTTGATCTTTTGTTAATGAGAATTATCGTACATGTTCATTCAGTCCACAATGACTTGTAATATGTATTTATACTGGATCATGTTTCTTTGTTATTACTGTTAATACTATCATTCTTGGGATGATCCCTAAATGGCTAATAGAGTATTTTGTCAACCACCTGATTTTCAAACATGACCTCCAGCTCTTCTGGTGATGTCACTACCCCACTACTCCACCCAAAATGATGATTTGATCCAACTGAAAAACAATAGTGCAATGTTTTTTTGTGTATGTTTCTGGAGGAAAGTCCACAGTTTTTTTGGTAGCGTCTTGGTCCGTAACCTTTTATCTTTGGAATGGTTTTAACTGGAGGTTGGAGGTAAACTGTCTGTGCTGCCACAAGCTCATAATTTGCACTGCTAGAATTCATCAGTGTCTTATCGTCATCCCCAAGAAAGGTCTGCATTTAGTAACTGAAATGTCCTTTTTTGATGGTTGAATAAATAGATAAATGCTAGACAAGGAAAGCTGCAAAGCGTGCCTAGTCTAGTTATTTCCTGTCAACTTGGTGTTTTGTCAGTGTTGAAAATATTTGAATTCAATATTTCAAGTCTGTAAATCATTTCCCCACAACATAATTGGGTCATAGTGGGCAACGTTTAGGCCATCTATGGCCATAACCAGCTATCGTCCTCAGACGGAGTGTTTTCTGGCACTGTAAGTGAAGACCAGGTGAAGGACAAAGTATTGGCCTTCTGTCTGATATGGTTAGATGTCAGGGCAGGCTCCATCCTGTTTCAAGGGGAAGGTCTTGGGTAAGGTCGAAGAATGTTTACTCTGTAATCATGCCTGTCTGCACTCACCAGCAACACTGCATCCACTTTCTGACAACCTCTCTGAAATAGCTTACCAGTAAGCTACAAGACCATTTGTCAGTGCTCATATCAGTTGATGATTACAGCTTCCCAGCTACCACAGTGCATTTTACTTAGCATTTTTTCAGTAGGTTTGGTTTAGTGGAACCGGTAACAGAGTTGATACTGATCTGACGCATAAATCAACTATGCCTCTGACTGGAGCCCATCCCTTTACTGTCCTGCTGAGAGCCGGTATAGCCACTAGGTGGCAGCCTCTCCAACGACTGTCCAGGGGACCAGGAGCAGTGAATTCCACGAGTCTTGACTGTTCATAGGATCTATGTCGGCTCCCTGATGAATGTTACCTACACACACACCAATCCCTGCATCCCCACTCCCTTCATAGACATGTTGACCTACGTAGTTATGCATCATCTAACGTACTATCACCTACTACCTTATCATCTACGTAGTTATTGCGTCATCTATCATACCATACACTTTCAATCTTCTTTTGGTTAAGTGACCCCTATACTATTCTACTCATGACAGATGATAAATAGCCTACTTTGAGGTAGTGAACAGTGTTCTCTAGTCTACTGCAGGGGTAGCTGGATAATTTCCCCTGACTTCACACAGATGTATTTTCACCCTATTTGATTCATACTCAGGGTTCAAGCTTGAAGCCCTAAATATGGGGTATCAACACAGGATTATGACAAGGGAATAGCAACATCTATTATTAATGATCAGCATCTTTGTGACAAGAAAATCGTAAAATTGATATTTTTGGAATATCCATTCATCTAAGATTTATTTTTCCTGTTAATTCATTAATGCAATTTAGGGTTTCTCTCCATCCAAGGTCATTGACGAAATAATATTTGTTGTGTGTGCGTGCACGTGTGTGTGTTTATTTAATTGTATGTGTTCATGTAAGCATGTGTGTTTGCTTGTGTGTGTGTGTGTCTGTGTTTGATCTGGCTATTCTAGGTCACTGATGACACACCTGCGTCTCTCATGTGCAATAGAGCTCTGAATTCATTCAGCCCCAGCCAGCTGACGACAGCCCTCCAGAGCCTCTCTATGTCACTAACCCAGGCCCAAACACATTCCACTGCCTCAGGACTGATACACCACGTGTCCTTGATGAGGATGAGACCCTAAGGCCCCTCGCCCAAGATGCTGAACACACACAATGCTCCCTCTCCCTCCGATCCTATCTGCTCTCTCTCTCTCTCTCTCTCTCTCTCTCTCTCTCTCTCTCTCTCTCTCTCTCTCTCTCTCTAACACACACACATACACAGAGCTAGATACATTGATTCACTGCAGTGGTTGCTGTGTAAGGTCTGTGGTTGTGAACTTGCTCCCTTTAGCCTGATTGCCTGCTGAAGTCGTGGCTGGTTTTATATGAGGGAATGCAATGACACTGCACTGTTACCATGGCATCACAGGGGCACGTTTCCTACTCACCTCTCACAAACCTGCATACAACCTGAATCCCAACCCCCCACTCTCTCCCTGCCTCTTACCTCCCTCTATTTTTTCTTATGCCCTAAAACCACATATCTCTCAGTCTGTCCTTGCTTCAAATAACATTTTATTGATCACATGCTTCGTAAACAACAGGTGTGGACTAACAGTGAAATGGTTACTTACGGGCCCTTCCCAACAATGCAGAGAGAAAGAGAAATAAATAAATAATAGAAAACTCTCAACCCGCTCCACTACAGCCCCGTCAATGTTAATGGGGGCATGCTCGGCCCACCGTTTCCTGTAGTCCACGATCAGTTCCTTTGTCTTGCTGATGTTAAGGGAGAGGTTGTTGTCCTGGCACCACACTGCCAGGTCTCTGACCTCCTCCCTATAGGCTGTCTCGTCGTCCTCTGTGATCATGCCTACCACCATTGTGTCGTCTGCAAACTTAATGATGGTGTTGGAGTCGTACGCGGCCATGCAGTCGTGGGTGAACAGGGAGTACAGGAGGGGACTAAGCACGCACCCCCGAGGGGCCCCCGTGTTGAGAGTCAGAGTGGCGGATGTGTTGTTGCCTACCCTCACCACCTGGGGGTGGGATCCAGTTGCAGAGGGAGGTGTTCAGTCCCTGGATCCTTAGCTTAGTGATGAGCTTGGAGGGCACTGGTGTTGAACGCTGGGCTGTAGTCATTGAACAGCATTCTCACGTAGGTGTTCCTTTTGTCAAAGTGGGAAAGGGCAGTGTGGAGTGCAATAGAGATTGCGTGATCTGTGGATCTGTTGGAGCAGTATGTGAATTGGAGTGGGTCCAGGGTGTCTGGGATGATGGTGTTGATGTGAGCCATGACCAGCCTTTCAAAGCATTTCATGGCTACAGATGTGAGTGCTACGGGGCGATAGTCATTTAGACAGGTTACCTTGGCATTCTTGGGCTCAAGGACTATGGTGGTCTGCTTGAAACATGTAGGTATAAAAGACTGGGTCAGGGAGAGATTGAAAATGTCAGTGAAGACACTTGCCAGCTGGTCAGCGCATGCTCTGAGTACGCGTCCTGCGGCCTTTTGAATGTTAACCTGTTTAAAGGTCTTACTCACATCGGCTACAGAGAGCGTGATCACACAGTCTTCCGGAACAGCTGGTGCACTCACGCATTGTTCAGTGTTGCTTGCCTCTAAGCGAGAATAGAAGGCGTTTAGCTCATCTTGTAGGTTTGTGTCACTGGGCAGCTTGCGGCTGGGTTTCTCTTTGTAATCCGTGAAAGTTTGCAAGCCCTGCCACATCCGACAAGTGTCAGAGCTGGTGTAGTAGGATTCAATCTTAGTCCTGTATTGACACTTTGCCTGTTTGATGGTTTGTCGGAGGGCGTAGCGGCAGCTCTAGCCTTTAGCTCAGTGCGGATGTAAAATGTAAATGTAAATGGATGTTGCCTGTAATCCATGGCTTCTGGTTGGGATATGTACGTACGGTCACTGTGCGGACGACGTCGTCGATGCACTTATTAATGAAGCTTGTGACTGATGTGGTAGACTCCTCAATGCCATCGGATGAGTCCTGGAACATTTTCCAGTCTTTGCTAGTGAAACAGTCCTGTAGCTTAGCATCCGCTTCATCGGACCACTTCCGCATTGAGCCCATCACTGGTACTTCCTGTTTGAGTTTTTGCTTGTAAGCAGGAATCAGGAGGATAAAGGAATGGTCAGATTTGCCAAATGGAGGGCGAGGGAGAGCTTTGTATGCATCTCTGTGTGTGGAGTAACGGAGATCTAGAGTTTGTTCACCTCTAGTTGCACAGGTGACATGCTGGTAGAAATTAGGTAAGAGGGATTTCAGTTTTCCTACATTAAAATCACCGGCCGCTAGCAGCGCCGCCTCTGGATAAGCATTTTCTTGTTTACTTATGGCCCTATACAGCTCGTTGAGTGCAGTAAATAGACTGCTACAAAAAATATAGATGAAAACTCTCTTGGTAAATAGTATGGTCTACAGCATATCATGAGGTATTCTAACTCCGGCGAGTAGAACCTCGAGACTTCCTTAATAATAGAGATTGCGCACCAGCTGTTGTTAACAAAGAGACACACACGACCCCCCTTGAGCTTCCCCGACGCTGTCGTTTTGTCCTGCCAATGCATAGAAAAACCAGCTAGATGTGTATTATCCATGGCCTTGTTCAGACAAGTTTCCAAGAAACATTGGATATTCTTCCCCTTGAGGCTGTTACTGTTGGTGTGTGACTCACAGTGGCTACTGTACCGATGTGGCAGAGCAAGTATGTGTGTTTGTGGGCAGGTGCAGGTAGCCTATGTACAGTATCACACCGGCATAATATTAATCTAATGAATTCAGCTTTCAATGTCACAGCAGAATACTGTACTGTGCTCATCTTTCCAGAGAAAGAATGGGGGTGGAATGGAGAAGGGGAAATGGACAGAATGTGGGAAGGGGAATGAGGAGGAGGGGGGAGGAAAATACAGTAAGGTGGGGAGGGTGTGAGAAAGTGGGGGCAGAGACAAATAAGTGTGCTGTCATGCTGAATACAGTAACAGGAAGGGGTAGAGGGGGAATGAGGAGGAGGAGCAGAACCGTGATTCTCTCCTGTAATCCTCTCGACAGAGGCACGAGGCGGGTGATGTGTAATAGAGAGAAGGAGAGAGTGAGAGAAGAGAGAGCGAGACCATGTGTACGAGAGGGTGATGAGAGACAGTGACAGTGAGAGAGAAAGATACTCCACATTGAGCAGGACAGGAGGGCAGGAGGGAAGGAGGGGTGGCGGTAGAATCCCTCATTCCAAAAGTACAGGAGGAGAGAACTGAGATGGCACGATGGAGGGAGGCATTCTTGCGAGCACAAGTGAACCAGCGATCAGACTAGCAATCCAAGCACATTTACCAGAGAAGGAAATAGGGAGGGAGGAGAGAGAGAGAGAAGGGGGGAATGTGGCATGCTTACGTAGTTTGACAGAGATCGAGTGAGAGTGAACCAGAGAGAGTGATAGAGAGTGCCGAAAGGAGAGGGAGGAACAAAGAGCGAGACCTAGAGAGAAATAGGTAATCACAGAGAGACTGAGCTCAGAACACATACACAAGGAGAGGGGGAAAGAGGGAGCGAGGAGAGAAAGAGCAGAGAGAGGGAGAGGAGAAGAGAGAGATGATGGTTTTACAGGAAGATAACCACTCATCCCTGCTCTCTGCGGCAGACATGACTCCAGGCGAAGTATTCTGCTGGAATTAGCCAGAGGGGTGACAGAGGACAGCAGGTCTGCAGCAGCAGCAAGGCAGATGATTCAGTGTGCCGGCTTTTTTTTTTTTTTTTTTGAGTTTCTTGTAGTGATTGGGGGTGGAGGAGCCACCGTTTCTCATGACAATGAAATTCAGTAAGCAATACAGTGCATGGCAGAAGCTTTATGTGCAAATGTGTCTTTACATTGTAGTGTAGTAAATGCAGGAAGGATTCAGTCAGTGACAGTCAGTCCTCGAGTTTGAGTGTGTGTGTTTGTGAGTGTGTGTGTGCGGCTGTGCGTGGAGGTGAGCAGAGTAGGGGTCAGCTGGGTGCAGTGTGTAGTGTGTAGTGTGTTGGGTTAGAGGAGGAAGGGTACAGGGAAGGTACTGAACACAATTCAAGGACAAGAGCTTCACACCGATGGGAGGGAGTACATCTGAGGTACCAGGAGAGCCCTGGGGGTAGGGTGGAGGACAGAGAGAGAGAGAGAGAGGGCAGGGAAGTGCGAGAAAGAGGGGGAGGAGGGAGATATAAAGGAGGAGGGAGAGAAGGAGAGAGAGCGAGATCATGGCTGTCAGATTCAGTGAGCTATAGCATAGATCTGAGTGGTGCGGCAGGGGGAGGACGAGCTTCACTACACAGGGAGGGAGAGAAAGGGAGGGAGGGAGGGAGGGAGGGAGAGGAGGAGAGGCAGACGGCACCACTCCTCTGCCAGGAAGAGAAGAGCACAACGGGACCGGACCGAGAGAGGGCACACACGTTCACCCCCACAGAGAACCATCGGCCAAATCAGCGAGTAGAGGTCAGGAGAAGCTGGTGTGGGACGGGGGCGGATGCGCCCCCTCTGGCTGGGGACCGTCAGGAGCGCTAAGCCCAGGAGGAGGGGGAGGAGGAGGGGGAGGAAGAGGGGGAGAGCCCCGGAGACCCGGTTCCTCTGTAGGCTGAACCTGTCTTTCAATGACCATGGGGGAGTGGACCATTCTGGAGCGGCTGCTCGAGGCTGCTGTCCAGCAACATTCTACCATGATTGGGAGGTAAGACTGTCCTCCTGCCACTCATCACCAGTGTGTGTGTAAAAGTTTTTTTGTGTGTGTTTTTTGTGTGTTTTTGTGATGGGAAATGCTTGTGTGTGTTTTTGTGATTGAAAGTGTATGTGTGTGTGTGTGTGTGTGTGTGTGTGTGTGTGTGTGTGTGTGTGTGTGTGTGCGTGCGTGCGTGCGTGCTGGTGTTTTGGCAGATAGCCTAAATGACCAAAATGTACATGTAAATGTATGTGTGTGTTTGAGTGTTAACTGGGTTGGTGGTATCCCTGAGGACTGCCCTTCTCTCTCAGGCTGGTCCCAGCAGTAGCCTCTACTTTCTGCCCCCTCCCCTCCCCACCCCTTCTGTGCCCATCATTAGTTAAGGGATAAGCTAATTGCACATAATCAATAGCTGGTATTACTGGGCATTAGGGCTAATTCAGCCGAGCTCCTGTGTTGATTTCACCTATTGGTCCTGGTATTGATGGAGGGGCAATGGGAGTCTCTAGTAGCAAGGGAGAGGAGGAGGGAGGAGAGCGAGACATACCGAGAAAATAGATAAAGAGGACAGAAATGAAGGTGTGGATGAGAGAGGAGCAAGATGAGATGACGGAGGAAATTATTCTGAACTTGGCAGAGGAGAGATTGCTTCTTGTGGTTTTGTGTGTTCTGTAGTTACTGGAGTGTAGTGGCAGAAGGTTATGCATGAGCAGATTGGAGTCTTATTAGCAGTGGAGATGTACTGGGGACAAACATACTGTGATGGCAGATTTTTTTCTCTGGCATGTGAAAAATATGCTTCATCGTCTCTCGCCTGTGTGATTAGTCAAATTCAAAGTGTGATTTTCCACCCATTAACCACAATGTGACTTACTCACATTGGTAAACTGCACTCGTCCCCTGTATGGAATAATCACACACAACATTGCCATTTCCATATGCTTGCTTACCCAGTGAAGCACACAGCTGTAGGATTTCAAGATTGCAGTACAGTGCAGTAGAGAGGAAGTCTACAGTGTAGTCTCTCTCTGTCCTTCTGTGTTGAGCTAGGGAGCTTGGCTACCTGTGTTAGCATGGAGGCCAGCTGCACTGCTGTGCTCATTAACCTCAACCACAGGTAGTCCCCAGCAAGGGCAAAGCCTGACCTTCTCTCCCATGCAAACACAGTATAATCACTGTGTGTCTGTGTTTGTGTCTGTTTTTGTGCTTTTTTCTGTTTTTTTGTGTGTGTTTGTCTGTGTCTGTGTTTATCTGTGTATGTGTTTGTCTGTGTATGTGTGTGTGTGTGTGTGTGTGTGTATACATACATGTTTATCAGAGTATGTGGCTAGAAGGCTTTATACAGTAGGCTATATAGAGACTGAGGGCGACATTTTCGTAGTGCAAAAGCACTGGGCAAAGTGCAAACATTACCATAAACCTAATTATAATCTAGCAGTGCTATTTCATTTTAAACTTTTCTTCAACAATGTGCGTTGTGAAGAAGCAACTATTTATGTATTGCTTAGTTTACTAAACTCAAGTTAAATAATTGACTAAATAATCAAATCGGAGGCGATTATTTCACTTGAGTTTAGTAAACTGAGCAATACATAAAGTCGCCTCTTCATAACACACATTGTTTAAGAAAAGTTTCAAATTAAGTCACTTTGCTAGATTATAATGAGGTTTATGGTAATGTTTGCACTTTGCACAGTGCTTTTGCACTATGCAATGTCACAACAATGTTCATGGTGTTAAATGTTGGTTGTAGTGTAGTATCACTATAGTATTATTATTTCATATTACTCAACATGGTGGATATGAAAAGGAAAAGGAATAATTATAACCACAAATGGTGCTAAGTAGCATAAAAAATCAAAGTTCAGGCACTCATGTGGGTTTGCAAGTTAAAAAGCCTTTAATGTGTGGGCAAAGTCATAATTTAAATACACCAATACGTATCGGCTAGCGCCTTCATCAGGCTGTCCCAATGGTGGATATGATTTGGGGTCATGCTAAAGTAGATCAAAGTTCTGAAAGATACTTATAAAGTAGACCACACAAACAACCAAACCGTATATGTGAGAGTGTATAAATACTGTATCTCCTCATGTCTCTAAGTGCCATACGATAATGAACAGGATAAGGGATCTGCATTTTCCTCACATCTCCTTTGAGTTTAGATCAAGCCCCTGTCTGGCAGCTAGAATCAATGATAGTCTGTCGGGTGCAAAAGAGGAAGAAATTAATCAGAGAATGAAAAAATGCCTACAATCATTCAGAAGCAGAGACAACTCTCTCAATTTGTCTGCGGTGTCTGACAGAGAGCATTATTAATGCTGACATGAACTTCTGTTCATGTCTTTTATCCTTAATCTGAGCACTGCTGTTGATCATGCATTTACAGGCCTGATAAGAAAGGCTTTCCCCAATATCAAACATATTTGATGACTAATTCTCCTCAAGCTAAACGTGGGTTGATCCTTTTCATCATTGTCTCCATCTGTAGTATCTATACTGTGTGGCGTAAAAGGCATTGAGATGATTCCACATTCTATACCAGACGTGGTCAGATGACAAAAGTGGTCATGTGAATTGTGAAATGGGTGACAACAGATAATGGTCTCCTATTTGATGGCTGGGAGTTTGTACATTTTGACGCTCAGTAGCCTACATTCCTCTGGTTTCTCCTGCCGCTGGTGAGGACATGAGGGTGTGTTGTAACTGATCCCTTGGTGTTTGGGCCATGTTTAATCTCTCAGTCCTGTCTGTGTGGGCTCTAGACGTTAGCGGTAACTGATATCTCTGTGGTGGCCCTCTATCAGTCCATTATGCCTGTCTGTCTGTGTGAACTTAAATACTTAATAGCTACTGCAGCTATGGGACTAAGTGTTTAGATACATACATGGTGTGTGTATTCAGGGTGATTATTTCAGCTACTGTAATGTGTTGGTGGAGGCCTGGCTGTGAAATTGTTTCATGTGGTCAGACTGCTATTTCAGAGATGTGGCTCTTGTAGACTCATTATACATCAGACTCAGGTCACTTGTGTTATGTGGAAAGCAATTTTGCACATTCAGTACTGTATGTAAATTTAGCAGTAGTCTGATTAGAATACGTGTACATGTACACTACCGGTCAAAAGTTTTAGAACACCTACTCATTCAAGGGTTTTTCTTTATTTTTACTATTTTCTACATTGTAGAATAATAGTGAAGACATCGAAACTATGAAATAACACATATGGAATCATTTAGTATCCAAAAAAGTGTTAAACAAATCAAAATATATTTTATATTTGAGATTCTTCAAATAGCCACCCTTTGCCTTGATGACAGCTTTGCACACTCTTGGCATTCTCTCAACCAGCTTCACCTGGAATGCTTTTCCAACAGTCTGGAAGGAGTTCCCACATATGCTGAGCACTTGTTGGCTGCTTTTCTTTCACTCTGCGGTCCGACTCATCCCAAACCATCTCAATTTGGTTGAGGTCGGGGGATTGTGGAGGCCAGGTCATCTGATGCAGCACTCCATCAACCTCCTTCTTGGTAAAATAGCCCTTACACAGCCTGGAGGTGTGTTGGGTCATTGTCCTGTTGAAAAACAAATGATAATCCCTCTAAGCCCAAACCAGATGGGATGGTGTATCACTGCAGAATGCTGTGGTAGCCATGCTGGTTAAGTGTGCCTTGAATTCTAAATAAATCACAGACAGTGTCACCAGCAAAGCACCCCCACACCATAACACCTCCTCCTCCATGCTTTACGGTGGGAAATACACATGCGGAGATCATCCGTTCACCCACACCGCGTCTCACAAAGACATGGTGGTTGGAACCAAAAATCTCACATTTGGACTCATCAGACCAAAGGACAGATTTCCACCGGTCTAATGTCCATTGCTCGTGTTTCTTGCCCCAAGCAAGTCTCTTCTTCTTATTGGTGTCCTTTAGTAGTGGTTTCTTTGCAGCAATTTGACCATGAAGGCCTGATTCACACAGTCTCCTATGAACAGTTGATGTTGAGATGTGTCTGTTACTTGAACTCTGTGAAGCATTTATTTGGGCTGCAATTTCTGAGGCTGGTAACTCTAATGAACGTATCCTTTGCAGCAGAGGTAACTCTGGGTCTTCCATTCCTGTGGCGGTCCTCATGAGAGCCAGTTTCTTCATAGCGCTTGATGGTTTTTGCGACTGCACTTGAAGAAACTTTAAATGTTCTTGAAATTTTCCGTATTGACTGACCTTCATGTCTTAAAGTAATGATGGACTGTCGTTTCTCTTTGCTTATTTGAGCTGTTCTTGCCATAATATGGACTTGGTCTTTTACCATATGCTTGTTAATTGAAATACATTCCAGGTGACTACCTCATGAAGCTGGTTGAGAGAATGCCAAGAGTGTGCAAAGCTGTCATCAAGGCAAAGGGTGGCTATTTGAAGAATCTCAAATATAAAATATAGAAAATAGTAAAAATAAAGAAAAACCCTTGAATGAGTAGATGTTCTAAAACTTTTGACCGGTAGTGTATATGTGACAGTTCTGTTATAATCCTGCTGACTAGATTCTCTTCTGACTCCAAATCAAGTCTCTGTCTCCCTCCTGCAGTCACTGTGGCTTGTACTCTCATTGTGTGTTTGTCCTAACTGTCCTCTATAGGCTTTCTACTCACACACTCCCCCCCTTTCTCTCTTCAGTCTGACACATACACCCACACACACGCCTGTGGTCTCCCTTACAAAGCGTTAATGTGCTCTTCCAGGAGAGAAATAAGCCTGGGAGTTCCTGTATTAAATCAGGGTTAAACACCTTGCAGGTAAAAGGGAAAGGAAGTGTGTTGATGCATCATTTTCTACACTGCAATGCTGTAGTGGGGTCAGTGCCGGAGACGAATGGAGGACTAGTGGATCAGGGAGAGATTAAACAATGGAAACGAGGGATAGGGCTGCAGAGGCAAGAAGGGGGTTTGGAACATGAAATCATAGAGGAGAGAAGAGGGCAAGTTTCCATCTGCAGAGGATCTTAGATGGGAGCACAGGTTGTTATCACAATCAGTGGCATGGAGAATCTGTGTCATTGCTCATTACGCTGGAGACGCTAACTGACCCTATTGCAGAGGAGACAGCCATGCTGGATTGGATACACCCACAGGCTACATTTTAGTCATTTAGCAGACACTCTTATCCAGTGAGTGCATACATTTTCATACTGGTCCCTCGCAGGAATCGAACCCACAACCCTGGCGTTGCAAGCGCCATGCTCTACCAGCTGAGCTACATGGGACCTACACACACACACACACGTACACACACACACACGCGCGTGCACGCACAAAAGCATGTGTTTTTCAGATGTATTTTATTTAAAACATTTTCAATATTTGATACATAATAAGACAGCTGTTACATATATATATAGGGTTGTGGGTTTGTTTCCCACAGGGGTCCAGTATAAAAATGTATGCACTCACTAACTGTAAGTCGCTCTGGATAAGAGCGTCTGCTAAATGACTAAAATGTAAATATAAATTAGTTAGCATTTGCTTATTTTACATAGTCCCATATTCACAGAGGAGAATAGTGATGCCATTTTGGGAGAGATGACATACAATATTCACCAACTAGCTCAAACACTAATTGAAAGGGGGAGAGGGAGAGATGGAGAGAGAGAGAGGGGAGAGGGGTGGTGGGGAGAGGGAGAGAGAGAGAGAGAGAGAGAGAGAGAAGGAGAGAGAGAGAGAGAGAGAGAGGAGAGAGAGAGAGGAGAGAGAGAGAAGAGAGAGAGAGGAGGAGAGAGAGAGAGAGAGAGAGAGAGAGACAGAGAGAGGACAGAGAGAGACAGAGAGAGACAGAGACAGAGAGGAGGCTGAGAGAGAGAGAGATACAAAGGGGGGGGGGGGGGGGGGGGGGGGGGGGGGATTAGAGAGAGTGAGAGAGGAGAGAGAGAGAGGGGGAGATGAAGAGATGCTTCTGCAGTGTGATAGCCAGTGTGTTGTAATGTAATTCAGCTCTCTAATCTCTGTGCTTGGTCAGGTCTTCATTATGTGCTGCCATAAGCAATTAGCTGTGTCTTATTATGGAGACATGCTCCGTATGAGATGAAATAACATTTTCACTCTGGGTGTCCAGTATGTGTGGCTGAATATTATGTGACTGCTCTCTGTTTTTGTGCACTGTCCATAATGTATTTGTGTTACTGCAAGTTCTGGCTGTATGCACACTTATTTGTGAGTACTCATGGGGTGAGCTAGTATGTGTTTGAGATGTACAGTGTATACATGAGTCTGTGAGCATCATCAGTGTGTGTGTGTGTGTGTGCGTGCGTGTGTGTGTATGTATGTGAGTGTGTATGAGCTGGTGTGTGTGTGTTTTCCCTGTGCATCTGGGGTCAGTGCTCAGGGCCGGTGTAGCCCCTGGAGGCTGACAGCAGCAGCTGCTGTGTGGATGAGTGTGTGAGAGCCTCTAGAAGAGCCAGGGCCTGGATGTCCAGCCAACACACCAGCTACTACAGCAGCTACCATAGACCATACCTCCAAAACCACGGCGTATTCACAGCCTGGTTCGCGACGAGGCTGCCATAGACCTAACACTGGAGCTACTAAGACCAATTACACAGCCTACAGATCAGCTAAACTAAAGTATACTGTAGAAGCAATACAGCACAGCTGCAGAGAGTTTAGAGGCTACACATAATATGCATTGCATATAAAGCCTTTCAGGCCATACAGCATTACCAACACACCATTGCTAGTATAAACCATAATTCAATAGACACTGGCTCTACACTCAGTGTACTTGCTGTTTCTATACCTTTCAGCATAACTGTAGGAGTTCTAAGAGCCTGCTCCGATTCATGACTATGACATCATCCTAGACCAAAGACAGCTAGAGACTCAAGTATCCACTTCGGCTGCAATGCTCTTTAGCTGGATGAGCTAATTGGGTCTCCAATCAGAGACCTGGCTGTGGTGGTTTACTGGAGGCTGCAGGGTGGTTCACATCACATTACATACCAGCCAAGAACACCTTCCTCACTGGTACATTCATCTGGATAGGCTGTTTCTATAGTAACTCACAACTGTGTATATGTGCACATTTGATGCAATATCCTCATTAAGGGATGATTCATCATCAGGATTATTGGTGAATTTAACACACACAGTATGAGCAAATCTATAGCATTTTATAGACCTTGAAAGTATTGTTTCGTCACCATGGGGAGAATCCTATGGTTTTCTAGGGCACACTGTAGGGCACTCAGTGTGAGATTGTGTCACGATCGTCGGAGGAAGTGGACCAATGCGCAGCGTGATAAGTGAACATACTTTATTTTTTTCACCACACGAACAAAACAACAAACGATACGAAACGTGAAGTCCTTGGTTACAATACAAACCATACGGAACAAGATCCCACAACACACTGTGGAAAACAGGCTGCCTAAGTATGGTTCCCAATCAGAGACAACAATCAACAGCTGATACACGTTGCCTCTGATTGAGAACCACACCGGCCAACATAGAAACAAATGAACTAGAAAATCACCCTAGCACACAAAACACATAGAAACAACACACCCTGGCTCAACATAACAGAGTCCCAGAGCCAGGGCGTGACAGATTGACTGATGTAAGACATGATCATGTTCCAGCCTGTCTTACTGTAAGTGATCTGAGGCTGGAGCTTCGATGCCGTTGTAAAGAGTTGTGTAGATGTGATGCCTGGATCCCCATCCTTGATCTTCTGGACCAGTTCAACCGGTTCAATCAATGGCCTCGAGTACATGACGCCGTTTGCTTGATTGAAGAGCTTCCAAAAAAGCAGGCGAACTTCTAATGATAGTCGAAAATCTTTTTGATCATCTGCAGGGGGCATCGGATATTCAGATGGTGAGGGCTTAGGGGCCTTCCTGCCTTAATTTGCTCTAATGTATGGGCCCTCTCTCTGCAGGGCTTAACAACACTGATGTTTCTAGATGACCTTCTTCCACTGCTTTCTGCTAATGCAGCAATCTACTCCATTCTGATTATCCTGTTCTACAGCAGAATACCACACACACACACACACACACACACACACACACACACACACACACACACACACACACACACACACACACACACACACTCACACACACAGCAATCCCAAACCATCTCACACATACACCCAAACAGCCCAACACCTGAATAAACCAACAGCTCAGTACTGCAGTAAAACTCACACTGTGTGCCACCTTCACATCTCTCCAGTCAAACATCGCAGGCAAAGCAACACTGTGAATTCTGCAGAGCCTAATAGATGAGAGGGAAACTTAATGACCTGTGCCTTTCCCGGGAAATACAGAACATGAAAATAGTTGCTACTATTCAATACAAGAATACATAAAACATGAGGCATAATGAACACATCCGTAATGTTGATTATGGGTTAGTTACAGTCCTATGCTGTGGACGTGTGAACAGACAGCTTGTGTAGTGTAGCGTAGGTGTGGCGGTGCAGGGCAGGGCCCACCCCTCTGATGCAGCACACAGCAGGTGTTTGAATGATGATGACAATCACTCGTTGCGACAGCAGGACCTGGACCAGGCTGCACCAAGGGAACTGCTGCCACACAAACTCACTCAGAGCATTTCTGTGACGACTTGACAGTGCAGAGACTCTGTCACACGCAGACTCTTTCATTGTTGAGATACATACAGAAGCTTGTCTTGTTCTATTATGCATTCAATACATTGACAGGACAATCAGCTGCTACAGCTGTATATATTCTCACATTTCAAAGCCCATAGAGACAGTAGGGATAATAAGGTTCTTTGCCATTAGCTTTTGGAACAGGATACAAATTCCATTTTCATCTAGCAGTGTCTGTTAAATGCCTTTCTGAGAAACATCAATACCCTCACTCCCAGTCAAACCATCAAGGAGACAACCACTTACAGTGCATCTGGAAAGTATTCAGACCCCTTCACTTTTTCCACATTTTGTTACGTTACAGCCTTACTCTAAAATTGATTAAATTATTGGTTCTCTTCATCAATCTACACAAAATACCCCATAATGACAAAGCAAAAACAGGTTTTTAGAATGTTTGCAAATTTATAAAAAATAAAAAACAGAAATACCTTATTTACATAAGTATTCATACCCTTTGCTATGAGACTCGAAATTGAGCTCAGGTGCATCCTGTTTCCAATGATCATCCTTTAGATGATTCTAAAAGTTGATTGGATTCCACCTGTGGTAAATTCAATTGATTGGACATGATTTCGAAAGGCAAACACCTGACAGTGCATGTCAGAGCAAAAACAAAGCCATGAGGTCGAAGTAATTGTCCGTAGAACTCCGAGACAGCATTGTGTCGAGGCACAGATCTGGGGAAGGGTACCAATTTTCTTTTGCAGCATTGAAGGTCCCCACAGTGGCCTCCATCATTCTTAAATGGAAGAAGTTTGGAACCATCCAGACTCTTCCTAGAGCTGGCCGCCCAGCCAAACTGAGCAATCAGGGGCGAAGGGCCTTGGTCAGGGAGGTGACCAAGAACCCAAGTGTCACTCTGACAGAGCTCCAGAGGTCCTCTGTGGAGATGGGAGAACCTTCCAGAAGGACAACCATCTTTGCAGCACTCCACCAATCAGGCCTTTATGGTGGAGTGGCCAGACGGAAGCCATTCCTCAGTAAAAGGCACATGACAGCCCGCTTGGAGTTTGCCAAAAGGCACCTAAAGGACTCTCAGAGAAACAAGATTCTCTGGTCTGATGAAACCAAGATTGAACTCTTTGGCCTGAATGCCAAGCGTCACGTCTGGAGGAAACCTGGCCCCATCCCTACGGTGTAGCATTGTGGGGATGTTTTTCAGAGGCAGGGACTGGGAGACTAGTCAGGATCAAGGCAAAGATGAACGGAGCAAAGTATAGAGAGATCCTTGATGAAAACCTGCTCCAGAGCGCTCAGGACCTCAGACTGGGGCAAAGGTTCACCTTCCAACAGGACAACGACCCTAAGCACACAGCAAAGACAACGCAGGAGTCTCTGAATGTCCTTGAGTGGCCCAGCCAGAGCCCAGACTTGAACCCGATTGAGCATCTCTGGAGAGACCTGAAAATAGCTGTGCAGCGACGCTCCCCATCCAACTTGACAGAGCTTGAGAGGATCTGCAGAGATGAATGGGAGAAACTCCCCAAATACAGGTGTGCCAAGCTTGTAGCGTCATACCCAAGAAGACTCGAGGCTGTAATAGCTGCCAAAGGTGCTTTAACAAAGTACTGAGTAAAGGGTCTGAATACTGTGTCTGTGTGGCTGTGTGTCTGTGTGGCTGTGTGTCTGTGTGGCTGTGTGGCTGTGTGGCTGTGTGTCTGCGCGTGTAATTGTGTGTTTGCTTGTGTGATTCCCTGCATACATGTGTGTTCTATAAGAGTGGGAGTGTGTGACAGTGTGCACGTACACGGCATGCATTGAACCTCTGAAACACCAAAGGTGTAGAGATCTCCTCTGTTTTATTTTCACACACTGAAGGGAAGTGGAGCGTACACACAGCTGCTCCAAACACAGACGGCCAGACACACATGCCACCTTGCACAAGCAAGGGATACACAGGGAATACACAAGCACACACACACACAAGCACACACACACACAGTACATGCACACTCACATACACACAAAAATAAACATGCATGCACATATGCAAACACATACACATACACATGCAATACACACCCACCACAAAATACACACACACACACACACACACACACACATGCACATGCAAGGCCCAGGTGGTGTGAGAACAATCCTGCAGCAGCATGCAACTCTATTTAAAGTCTGTACCATAGTACCACATGCTCTACCCTGTCTACCCTGTCTGCCTGCTCTGTGTTCCATCACATCTGCCTGTCTTTCCCCTTGCTTTAGCATGTTTGTCTCACTTTACATATGCCTGTCTATCTGTCTACATTCATAAGGTTTCTGTATCTTCTCACCCCTCACACACAGTTCATGTGTCTCTCACTCCTTCATCCCTCCATCCCTTGCTCTCTTCTTCTCTCTCTCCCTGAGCCTCTGCTCTGACTGGATCAGTAGGGGGTTGCTGTGGTAACCGGCCATGGAGAGTGGGTGTGGGGGGAGGTGGGGCTAATTTTAAAGACACACCAGGGTCTTCTTTGACACTGCACTATAAAACAACTAGGAGAGAGAGAGGGAGAGAGAGAGGGAGAGAGATGGAGTGGGAGGGAGGGACATAGAGAGAGAGGGAGCAAGAGAGAGATAGGGGGAGAGGAATTATAAATGGCAGCACATGTATTCCGCAGTGCTAAAGACGTTAATCGAACAGCCACTGGTAGCTGCCTATTGCACGTAAATGGATGCTAACTAAGCTGCTTAGCAACAGCGGAAATGAGGGTCTGCATCTTCTAAGGAACTCTACAACCTAGTGTTCCAAATGAAGTGCACACACTCAGTCCCATTGAACACTTCACCATCAGTCAAACCAATAATATGGGCTAAATAATCAATACACAGAAAGGGAGGAAGAAAGAGCAGGAGGGGCGGGGCATTGCTTTAGGACAGCACTAGTAGTGCATTTTAAACATAGCTGATGTCATTTGGTTGACATTTTTACTGATGCCAGTGGTGCATATTGCAGCACTTAAACCATGTTTAGGTGAGGAAGCATTGATAAAGTATAATAGCCTATATAATGGTGTTTAGATCTTCTGTGTGTGTGTGGATATAGTAGTACTGGGTAGATTGAGGAGGAGTGGGATTAGGCTCTCAGCACGTCTCCACAGGCAGAGCTGAGAGGGAGAGAGCTCATCTCTTATCTGTCTGCTGTTGAAAAATGAATGGAGATGCTGGCTGAATAGGAGACAGGAGGGTTACGCTCAGCCAGCAACATGATGGATATTCATGCAGGGATCCACATGTTCATTATCCACAGCAATGACTGAGACTATCTCTCCTCTCCTACCTTTCTTCTTTGCACACTGCAGCAGCTGAAGGATTCGTGCACACACATGCACTCACGGGCACACACGCAAGCTCACACTTATTCACACACAAACGCACACACATAGAGTGACTACTACACACATCTGATCAAACTTGTCCTTGGTGTGAGAGCTGCTTTTGTCTCCATTGATTTGCTGTGGTTGAGCAGAGGTACATATAAAGTACAGCCTTTATTGGCTCAAGACAAATGATGTCACTCTAACTCACACATGACAAAAGCCAAAGCCAACATGCAAACACGTTGGCTTTGGCTTTCAATTAATGATAATAGACGAGTAACATGTCTAATTAATCATGTACTGTCAATATCACAGTACTTACAATGATTCTTTGTTCTACTCTGTGTCACATCTGACTAGGGTTGCAAAATTCTGGGATCTTTCAATAAATTCCCTGGTTGGAATATTCCCAGAATCAGGAGGAAATACTGTAAGTAGGAAATCCAAAATCCTCCAACCAGGATTATTGCAAAACCAGGACATTTATTGAAAGATCCCATAATTTTGCAACCCTAGCTACATTTTACACTCCTCTTAACACATAACTGAAATCGTGTCTTCCCCACCCCTCTCTCTTTCTCTCTCTCCAGGATACTGCTGACAGTAGTAGTGATCTTCCGTATTTTGATAGTAGGTATAGTGGGTGAAAAGGTCTATGAGGACGAGCAGATAATGTTCATCTGCAACACTATGCAGCCGGGCTGCAACCAGGCCTGCTACGACAAGGCCTTCCCTATATCCCACATCCGCTTCTGGGTCTTCCAGATCATCTTAGTGTGCACGCCCAGCCTGTGCTTTATCACCTACTCTGTGCACCAGTCCGCCAAGCAGCGTGACCGCAGTTACTCCATGCTGCACCCCTACATAGACCATGGTCATGCAAGTCACCACAGTCGCGGAGGCGACCACCATGCCCGCAAGCTGCGCAACATCAACGGTATCCTGGTGCAGAACCCTGACAGCGGCAAGGAGGAGCAGGACCTGGAGGTCAAGGAGATCCCAAATGTACCCCGGGGGCTCACGCAGGCCAAGAGCGCCAAGGTGCGGCGGCAGGAGGGAATCTCCCGCTTCTACGTCATCCAGGTGGTGTTCCGTAATGTGCTGGAGATCGGCTTCCTGGCAGGCCAGTACTTCCTCTATGGCTTCAATGTGCCAGGGATGTTTGAGTGTGACCGCTACCCCTGCGTGAAGGAGGTGGAGTGCTACGTGTCACGCCCCACAGAGAAGACAGTGTTCCTGATCTTCATGTTTGCGGTGAGCGGCATCTGTGTGCTGCTCAACCTGGCTGAGCTCAACCACCTGGGCTGGAGGAAGATCAAGACGGCCGTCAGGGGTGTTCAGGCCCGCAGAAAGTCCATCTGTGAGGTGCGTAAGAAGGACGTGTCGCATGTGTCCCAGGCCCCCAACCTGGGCAGGACCCAGTCCAGTGAGTCAGCCTACGTCTGACAGAGGCTCATCCACATGGGGGGACCTGGACCTCTGGACCGAGCACAGCTTTCTCTGGGGAGGACGAACACTCAACCCAGCTCCCCCCACCCTGAGGGACAGTAACTCTACACTGCAACATTATTCAGGAGTGCAGAGGGACTTCACGTGGCCATACTGGAGGATTATTGGAGAGAAGAGCTTTTTGGACTCTACAAGAGAGAGAAAGTACCTCAAGGGCAGTTGTGTTGCTGTAACTAAAGTTAGATTTGAACTATTGGGGGAGTTGTGCTCTGAATCCTAGGTGACACTAGGTGCCTTCCAAGAGAACACATTGGAAAAAGAGGAGATGGGACTAATTACTGTAAGAATATGAAATAAGGATAGTTCCAATTAAGAAATAAGTCTCACATAAAATATATTATCTTTGCCTTTGTGAGAGGTCAAACGTAGTCCCTTCATTTATTTAAGTATGTGTGCATATGCAAGAACTTATGTGTGTGCATGCATACGCATGTGTGTGTGTGCAAGAGATAAGGCAGTGTGTATGTCCTTTGTTCTGCAGAGTCAGAGCAGAGATGATTGGTGAAGTTGAGTTGCTGAGGGAATGAAAACGTTCCTTCTTTCCGTTCTTATCCTTCCCTGCGGCAGCTCCACTGTAAGGAGGAGCCAAGCAGAGGAGATGCACTTTTCATCATCCCCTTAGAAACCCAGAAAAGAAGGCTTTAAAAAAACTTCAAAAATCAACACTAAAACTATACCTCAGCACAAACTGGAACCCCCTCCCGTCCCCGTCCCCACTCCTTGCACTAGAATCCCTCGCATAGCCCCCCCCTCCTCCTCTGTCGCTGTATTATGCATTATGTTATAGGACTGACTACAGTATGAAGCACTAAAGGAATGAATGGAATTACAACAAGCCCTTCTTTTTCCATTACATAGGAAACAGAAGTATTTACTCACAGAACATTTTAACGTTTAACCCACAAGTTTTTTTCTTTACTACCGAATTTGGTCCCATATTTCCAAGTTACTGTAAATAGTTTAATGTAATAATAATTGCATAAAGCCAGCTTATTCCCTTATGAGGCATGGGTGGGTGGGGGAATGGCGGGTGTCGGGTTGGGTGCTGGGATTTAGGTGGTGCTGGAGATAAATCATAGATTGCCAGCTTTAAGAATATATCATATTAATGTGCTCTTTGTTAAGCTTTTGTTCTCTAATGGAAATTGTAAGTTCCAAAAAAGTGATTTTTTTCCCTCCTATGGATTTTGAAAAAGGCATGTTACTGAAGCATTAATAGAATGGATAGATTGTGTCATGACATGTAATTTAAAAAATGGACTGTTTAATTTATTTGCATCCTGCTCCTGTGACATGTAATAATCAGCATGCGTTAAGATGAAAAATGATATATGAGATGTGAACATAGCACCATGTTATGGGGATATGGGGAGTGAATATTGAAAAGGCTCCAGAATTGCAGCAATAATATTAATAATATATTGCAGAAAAAATAAATGAATAAATAAAAAATTATCATAAAGCCTCATATTTTCTACCAAAGTGTGTATGCAGGCTATGAGAATAAGCCCAGGGCACAAGGTTAAAATCACCTCAAGAGAACAGTTTCATACATTGAGTAGCAAAAAACGAAGATGATTACAGAGTGGATATCAACATAAAACAGCACATTTATGGGCACTGATGAGAAGATAAACTGGGTGAACTTCAGATATACAGTACGATGGATACTTAGAATTTCCGTGCAAATACTTTATGACAATGTGAGTATTGTTCTAATAACAGGGGGTATGTATGATTAAAGTTGTGTACCTTGACCAGAGATGAACAAACCACAGGCAAACATTAATTAATTCGTAATGAAAATAAAACAACATTAATAAGTAAGATAACCAATGTCAGCCAGGCAGAGTTAGTTGCCATGGCCCCAAAATACAGTCGTGGTCAAAAGTTTTGAGAATGACACAAATACTAATATTCACAAAGTCTGCTGCCTCAGTTTTGATGATGGCAATTTGCATATACTCCAGAATGTCATGAAGAGTGATCAGATGAATTGCAATTAATTGCAAAGTCCCTCTTTGCCATGAAAATGAACTTAATCCCCAAAAAACATTTCCACTGCATTTCAGCCCTGCCACAAAAGGACCAGCTGCCATCATGTCAGTGATTCTCTCGTTAACACAGGTGAGAGTGTTGACGAGGACAAGGCTGGAGATCACTCTGTCATGCTGATTGAGTTAGAATAACAGACTGGAAGCTTTAAAAGGAGGGTGGTGCTTGAAATCATTGTTCTTCCTCTGTTAACCATGGTTACCTGCAAGGAAACACGTGCCGTCATCATTGCTATGCACAAAAAGGGCTCCACAGGCAAGGATATTGCTGCTAGTAAGATTGCACCTAAATCAACCATTTATCGGATCATCAAGAACTTCAAAGAGAGAGGTTCAATTGTTGTGAAGAAGGCATCAGGGCGCCCAAGAAAGTCCAGCAAGCGCCAGGACCGTCTCCTAAAGTTGATTCAGCTGCGGGATCGGGGCACCACCAGTGCAGAGCTTGCTCAGGAATGGCAGCAGGCAGGTGCGAGTGCATCTGCACACACAGTGAGGCAAATACTTTTTGGAGGATGGCCTGGTGTCAAGAAGGGCAGTAAAGAAGCCACTTCTCTCCAGGAAAAACATCAGGGACAGACTGATATTCTGCAAATGGTACAGGGATTGGACTGCTGAGGACTGGGGTAAAGTCATTTTCTCTGATGAATGCCCTTTCCGATTGTTTGGGGCATCTGGAAAACACCTTGTCCGGAGAAGACAAGGTGAGCACTACCATCAGTCCTGTGTCATGCCAACAGTAAAGCATCCTGAGACCATTCATGTGTCGGGTTGCTTCTCAGCCAAGGGAGTGGGCTCACTCACAATTTTGCCTAAGAACACAGCCATGAATAAAGAATGGTAGCAACACATCCTCCGAGAGCAACTTCTCCCAACCATCCAAGAACAGTTTGGTGACGACCAATGCCTTTTCCAGCATGATGGAGCACCTTGCCATAAGGCAAAAGTGATAACTAAGTGGCTCGGGGAACAAAACATCGACATTTTGGGTCCATGGCCAGGAAACTCCCCAGACCTTAATCCCATTGAGAACTTGTGGTCGATCCTCAAGAGGCGGGTGGACAAACAAAAACCCACAAATTCTGACAAACTCCAAGCATTGATTATGCAAGAATGGGCTGCCATCAGTCAGGATGTGGCCCAGAAGTTAATTGACAACATGCCAGGGTGGATTGCAGAGGTCTTGAAAAAGAAGAGTCAACACTGCAAATATTGACTCTTTGCATAAACTTAATGTAATTGTCAATAAAAGCCTTTGACACTTATGGAATGTTTGTAATTATACTTCAGTATACCATGGTAACATCTTACAAAAATATCTCATAACACTGAAGCAGCGAACTTTGTGAAGACCAATACTTTTGACCACGACTGTACATTCAGTACACATCATAAGACAGACCTATAAGCAGAGTTACAGTCCACAGAGACCTCCACACAAACAGGCTCTGGCTTTGATCAAATCCAAACATTGACCCAAGTGCTAATCACAAATCACAACCCAGGTGCTTTGATTTGGGTTTTCATCTAGGGCTCTTTGATGGAGGCTTATGGCCCTTGTCCCCACTGGAGGATTCCGAGAACTGAGCTGAACTGAGCTGTGTGTGTATGTGTGCAGTGTGTGTGTGTGTGTGTGTGTGTGTGTGTGTGTGTGGGAGGGAGGGAGACTATGATTGCTGCAGTCCATGAAGACTAACAGACAGCAGCACATTCCCAGGTGAGCTCATCCAACTGATCTCACTCAGTCCTCTGAGTAAGAGATTAACAACTTTACACATTTTGGGAGTGGCTGGCTATCTCTGGTCAATCTGCCTGTTGTTTATGGTTAGCTGATTCAATGGCTTTCTGGCTCCCAGGTCAGAGGTCATGGATGGACAACTATCATTGGTCAAATCTTTCGTCACATACACAGTTTACAGCAGGTATAAAAAGTGCAGCGAAATGCTTGTGTGCTAGCTCCCTCAACAATGCAGTACGTCATTCAATATCTATAATAACAATAAAAAGAGTTCAGTCAAAAATAACAAGTACATATGTAGGATCTTAATTTGATCACTCTTTTGTTGCTGAGAATTTTCCTGCACCGCAGGAAATGCAGGAGAGCTTTGTGATTTACATAAATTCATTGAAAACCCACACTAACACACAGTTATATTAACAGTATTGCACTTTTCATGTAGCATACTTTTGGCCAGGTAATAGCCTAACCACCAATCAAGCAACATTATTTTCAATTCACAATCTGTAGAATCAATGAGAATAGAAAGGTTCAGAACTTTTGTAAGACATCACAGTACAGTTGAAATATATATGGCAAATAGAAATCCTATATGGATGGTGTTAAAAGATAGATGGGAGGTGTTGAATGGAATTGAAGGATGGGACTAATAACAACTACCAATAACAAGATAACTAATAATGTAGGCACACTGTTTCCATAATAAGTGTATGGGTTGTAGGTTGGGAGCTTTTGTGAAGGAGCACAGTTAGAAAGATATGGCATATAGAAACAAACCGGATGGACATCATGAATATGATCGGAGAGGTTGAGAGTAGAAGAAGTTCAGGAGAAAGAACAAACTAAATGTAATTATTGTAAAATTGACATAAAATGTAGATAGTGGGTATGGGCTGGAAGTAGAGGCCTAGGCGTTGTTGTTCACTAGTTTACTCCAAGTGGGGAAAGGATGGCGGGGTTGGAAAGTAATAAAGGGGAATATATATATATTTTTTAAAGGATATGTATGTGTATGTATGTACGTATGTATGTATGTGGGTGTGTATGTGTGTATATATATATATATATATAAAAACATGGGGGATTGGAAGTGATGCAGACAATTACATTGATGGAAGTTACAATCTATCTGCAATATTAAGCTGATC